ATTTTACGTTAGCTTGCTAAGTATTGCAGGTAACGTTCGAGTACCTGTTGTCAAATGTCCATAAGAGGGAAAAAAACAAAAAAAAGAGAAGAAGAATTGGAGGAATCAATTAGCAAAGCAATGACTACTTGGACTTGGTTTTAAAGTGGTTTAATATTTGGGCCTTAAAAGCCCATAAATGATCTAGCGTTCGCCCTAACTTACATTTTTGAGATACAAGTTTTAGAGACTCTTGTGTGTAACATGTAAAAAATCATACTCTTTTCATACATTCTAGATTTCTGACGTAGACTTATCTACAATAAGTACTACAGTTATTTACAAAATATTGTAACATACTGAAGTTTGAATTTCGTTTTAACATCATGAACTGATGGATAAATCATAAAACTTATGGCTGACGATTGGATTATAAACCTGTAGCCTGTATAGCCTGTAGGAGTTCCCCAACATAGAAAGGATAAAACATGTTCAGAAGATGAAAACGTACGTGTCAAACAATAAGCTATACATTACAGGTATAACCAACAGTGATGGACCCGTAGGATTGTGACAAGAAACCAAAGGACCGTTGTTTCAGTGCGTCTCGTGAATCCCCTCTCCCCCAGTTCTGATACTTATTTTGCTTTTTTGTGGTATTCTCCTTTATTTTTTCTCCTCTCTTTTTTTGGCCCATCCTTACTAAATACTACGACCACACTTTGACCTTTTTATAAACCATTCAAAAATTTATGATAAACAATCTAGAGAAATCTCTTGTTTTCTTATGGAACACTTCAACTAATATTTTCATATTTACTAAAAACAGCATCCACATAAGTTATATTGTTTCTTTTCTTTTTTATTTTTGACAAGGAAAGGAAATTCTCACAACTAACTATTTTTTGTATCTGATTTTGTGGTGATCATTTAGAATCGTTGAAAATTGTATTACCAAATGATATTTGCATTCGTGATATTTTAAAGGAACATGATGGCATACTTTACCAAACATTATTTTTCAACATGACTTATATATAGAATTGCTTAATAAGATAGATAAAAATAGTTTGCAAGGGACTTATACTTATGTGGTTGTACAATCGATTAATCATTATCTAAAAAACTGGAAAAGCATGAGGCATAAGTCGGCAAGTGTGACAGAGTTTCTATTATGTCCTTTGTTTGATATAACGACAAATAAATGCGATTGTGGTCAATTTCTAAGGGGTCACGGGTCCTTTAACATATACTTCCAACCCATTTATATATTTATGTATCGCTTGGTTTTTCTATACTGAATTTTCTTTCAAGAATGGACCGAAAATTTAGGTTTATTTACTATATGGTCGGATAAACCAATTAAACAAAAAGTGTGTTAAACGCATAGCCATCTAAACGATTGCCTGAACAACTAAATTACCGATTTATAGATTCGTAGGTGTTAAGAATCCCATGTGAGACTAGACATATGGATTCATAATTGGTTTGGAGTTTGAATCTCATAAAATCTGATACTAGGTCAATGAACATATTCTCATATCATGTGTATAGCATTTACGGTTGGTGTATCAAATTTTTCATATTTATACGAATCTACGTTTGGTAAACCAAACACTATATATTATAATTTATATTCCAGCACTTGGAACTATATACCATTAAATATACACGGACAATAGTGACATACACTCACACATATATAGAAATATTTAGGGTAATTTGCATCAATATTATGTTTGGAGGGGCAAATTAGGCGCGTGACATCGAGAAAGAGTCAATTCACTCGCTAGCGGAAGTCAACGAAAAAGCAGGGATGGAAATGACAGAATGCTCCTTGCTCCCAAAAAAGTAGACATCTTTTTTTGGTGGCGGGTAGGGACCATACGTAGTTAGCAAAAGGCAGACGGTACCATGTTTTTGAGACAGTAACATCAAATACTTTTTGCTCCTTATTTGCCCGCCCGAGGTGTTTTGTCGGGTTGTGAAATTGTACGGATAGGTTTAGTGGAGGGGACCCTTGGGATCAAATAAATAGATCTAATGAAAATTTCCATAAACCACCGCTAGTAAACAATCGTCTAGGGTTTGTCTACTTCTTGGTTTCGAAGGTATAACTACTTCTGAGGATAAATTGTGACTACTATACATTTGTAGTTGGATATTTATGACCTCTTGACCTTTGTTTGTGTAGATGGCAGGAAGGCAAATGGTGTTGTTGGTGAAAGGAAAATGGTTCGAACAGTCCAACGGAGTGTGGACTTTCCTTACGGACCGCAGAGGAAACACTAAAGCAGTTTTCCTAAGCTCGCGGATGAGTTTTACTGAAGTTGTGAAGCTCGTTAAGGAAAAACTGGGTATCTAAGAAGATGTGGGCGTAACACTTACTTTCCAGTGGCCGGCGTTCATGCTGATGGACGACGGCCGCGACGCCCCACCTGTTCTGATGTCGTCGGATGATGAAGTGTCGCTTTTTGTGGAAATGCGAGTCGAAATCGACCAGCTCAATATGTGCGTAACCACAGATGAAAATGCGGATGATGATGTTGTGAGGGTTCCTGGAAAAAATGAAGAAGCTTTGGTTGTCTACGGCACGACGGAGGAGGATGGCGCGGCTGGTGACGGTAAGCAGAATATAATAGCTATTTATTGAATAGTCCGTTATTTGAAGTTGGTAGTTTGTCTACGAAGTCGGAGTAGTCAACTATGAAAGTGTTAAATATCCTAATACCACATAGTTAACTACTTCTTGTGTAATAATGTAATGTGGTTTAGACAACTATTAACATAGTTGTCTACGTGCTTTGAACAGAACCGTATGAGGAAGAAAATTCTGAAAGGCTAGACGAGTTAGCTGTAATCAGTTTGGCTGGAGAGGAGCCGGACTTTGTGAAGGATGCTGATATCCCCGGTGAGGGTATCCATGAAAATGTAGATAGTGCTGGTGAGATACCCGAACAAGACAACAATGATACCGCGAGGGCTCGGGATAAAGGGAAGGCTAAGGTGCCGGATGGCGATTCTGGTTATGTACCAGCCAGTCAAGGATTGGAAAAGGGAGAGTGTAGCCGCCGTTCAGGCAAGTACAGTTGCGCAGATGAAACTATCAATGGTTTTTTCTCTGAGACGGAAGAGGTGCCAGCTATGTTTGGAAGGGATGCGCCGCCGGTAGTGGACGATGTTTCTGATGATGGTAGGTAGTTATATATATATAGTGAACTACCTTAATAGATGTATACCAATGTTTATGATTTGGTTCACCTAATTAGATTTACAGGGATAGACGGTGCTTTGCGAGACGTGCGATACGAAGGCGATGGAATTTTTGTTGGGAGAATTTTCCGAAACAAAGTTGAGTGTAAAATTAAATTGGCAATTCACGCCATCAATAGGAAATTCCACTTCAGGACCCCGCGTTCAACACCAAACTACATGGAGTTTCTTTGCATCAATACGACATGTCCTTGGCGGATATACGCTTCCCTCATGGATGCCACTGGGAACTTCCAAATTAAGAAGGCGATGTTGAAGCACACGTGTCCCATTGAAGACCGTCGGAAATATCACAAACAAGCGACAACACAAGTGATTGGTGAGCTGATCCAAACACGATTTGTCGCGGGGGAGAAAGGCCCCGGTCCAATCGAAATCCAGCGAATCATGCTTCAGGAGTTCCAGGTAATGTAAATTTTGTATTACGTATAGGTAGTGTAGTTGTCTACGGGTAGTTGCTTATTTGACTACATAAAATGATGAGTCGGTCTTACTCGGATTACGAAATGTAGGTCAACATTTCATTTTGGAAGGCTTGGAGATGCAGGGAACTTGCATTGGAGAAGGCATTTGGATCGGTCTCTGGCAGTTTTACATTGCTCCCTTCTTATTTGGTAAACCTACAGAACTCTAACCCTGGGACGGTTTGCAAAACTGAGTTCGGAGTGGACAAAAATGGTTGTCAACGATTCAAGTACCTATTCATATCGTTTGCTGCTTCAATTGCTGGACTCCCATACGTACGGGCAGTGGTGATTATTGATGGTTAGTTGCTAACTACTGATATACGACTATGTGATAAGTAACTACCCATTATGTATAATGAAACAATAAATACTTCTCTATCGTTACAGGGACTCATCTAATAGGCAGGTATGGGGGCTGTCTCATATGTGCTAGTGCTCAGGATGGGAACTTTCAAATCTATCCAATTGCATATGTTGTAGTGGACAGCGAGAATGATGCATCTTATGAATGGTTTTTCAATTGCTTGAACACTATCATTCCCAATGATCGTGATGTTATGGTTGTTTCAGACAGACACGGGAGCATCTACTCTGGACTCAAAAAGGTGTGAGATAATGACCAATTACAGATTCAAAGTTACTTACATATAGTTGTCTATTAGTAATCAACCATTTTGATATATTAGGTGTACCCTGATGCCGGTCATGGGGCATGTCTGGTTCACTTAGCAAGGAACATAACCGCACGGTTTAAAGAAAGTCGGCTACCTGGACTGATGGTCAGAGCTGCAAAAGCATATACCGTGTACGAGTTTTAGCAAATATTTGCAGATCTCCAAAGCGTAAGTCCTAGCTGTGCGAAGTACTTACTTGATTTAGGGTTACCACACTGGACAAGGGCATACTGCATTGGCGAACGCTACAACGTAATGACCACAAACATTGCTGAATCCCTCAACAAAGTCTTGAAAGAGTGTAGGGAATTTCCTTTAATCTCAATTCTTGAGGCCATACGGATGAGTCTAATCAGCTGGTTCGTACGGAGAAAAGCTGCATCCGCCGCAGAGCAACATTCTATCAATCATAAAGTCTGTGACGTGATGGACGAGAACTACCATGATTCCACCGAGTTAAAGGTAAATAGTAGTCGATTAGTGGACTATCGGACTACCTGTATTTAACTAGTTCCTGTTGTATATTTGTATACGACTACTTGTAGCTGACTTTGTTGATGTGTAGGTGGTTGTGGTCGGAGAGGATGAGTACGAAGTTTATAATAGACAGGGGGAAAGGTTCGAAGTGAACCTTGTTTTAAAGACGTGCAGCTGCAGGGAATTTCAAATGCTTCTCATACCATGCCGCCATGCAATGGCAGCTTCTTCGTTGAGCAAAATAGAGTTAGATAAGCTCGTAGGGGAGGTGTACACCACAAGGTACCGACGGTCCCTTTACGAAGGAGCTTTCCATCCAGTACCAACTCCTGTAAATTCTGGTGGGACCGAACTACTACCACCATTGATGCGCCGTCCCCCAGGGCGACCAAGGAAAACAAGGATCCTATCTCGTGGAGAGTTTAAGGTAACGATTATTTGCTAGTTAGTAGTTGTTTATGTAGTAACTGACTACTCGGTAATCGTTATCATCTACTGAAGTTCTCTAACTTAACAGAGGCGTTCGAGGAAGGCAGCGAGGGTTTGCAGCAGATGTCTTGGAAAGGGACACAACAAAGTTTCATGCAAACTACCGGTGCATGAAAGGTAAGTGAAGTGGCATGGGTTATGTTTGGATGAGGCAGGGGAGAATCGGATATGATGCACTTCAAATGCAAGTTAAGGGCCAACATTTTCTGTTGGTTCTTATCTCCTGGATATTTGAAGCTTTTTTTGGAACTATGCATCCTAAAATAAGTAATTGGATCTTGGATACTTTTTGTAATGCCTCAGCTACTTTCCTCCCTTAGTTATTTTGTTATCATTGAATGTGATACTACGCATCGTAAAACATGTTCTTCGCCTTTTGGAGTGATTATTAATTGCCCTTACGCATTTGAATCTCTATTAAAACTTTATATGATTGGTAGTTGTCGTAGTATATATGAGTTTAGTAATAAATAACTATCTGTAGCATAGAAACTATTTGTTTGCCTTTTGAGTGTTCGCACGAAATTGGAATATCTTTTGGAACATTGGATGATTGATAGTTGTCTATTTGTAGTTAATTAACAGTTTTCAATGTCACAATGGGCTGGAGTGTAAAATATAGATTCTACTGTAATATAGGCGATTATTAATAGTTAACTACATGTAATACAGAATTATTTGTTCGCGATGGTTATTACCACATCCTAAATATTAGTAGGGTAATTCTTCATTCCGACTGATGATAATAAACGACTACTAATAATTAAATATGTCGAAGTTCATAAAACACACAAACATAACAATAGTTTATAAAAGGGATAAGTGTCTAAAACGATATGACATGTTCGACAGGGAATAAGTTGATAAAACATCCGGATGCAATGTTGGCATCAAGCCGCAGGGTCCTTTGGAATTACGACATTAGCTAGAGAAGGCGGTTCGATCAAACATAGGAGATCATAAGCAAACTTCAGGGAAGCGTCACGAACAACATCATCACCCACAGCATTGTCCATAGGCACATTTGCAGCGTGTAACTGAATAGACATGAGTGCCAGCACACCCAAATGACCTGGTCGTGCAAGAAAAGTAGTTACCTATCCGTAAACATTTAATACGTATGTGACTACTATTATAAAATATGAGATACCTAAAGTCGATGTCTGGAAAGTTGGTTTCACAATTTTTATTGTGAACGCCATCACGTCGTCTGCTTTCATCTCTGTATTGTATGCCACTCTCCTGATAAAATGTGGTAGAGCCTGTGCAAGGGGCGCGACACTTGTCTTGAGTTTCATCTCTTTGAGTGTCGCATAGGAATTCAGGACCAGAATCTCATGGCTTTCAAAATCGATGCAAAGCCCCACCCAGTATCGGTCATCCACTTGATAAGGGCAATAAATCCGCGCAACCTGAGTGTACCATGAGCGCTTGGCTTTGACGTATGCAGCTGAACCAGGAGGGAGTGAGACAAGTTTCTTCTTCGGGGGATTTGTGAAATGCGGAAGGAGTTCAACGATGCCGTGAAGGAACGTGTACTCGACAAAGTCATAAGTGCACCGATCGTCGTTCAATTCCGCCAGTTGGTGACGGAATAGCCTAATAATGCTGTCAATAGACTAATATAAAAGATAAAAGAGAAAGTAGTCAATTCCATAGTAGACACATTGAAAATAGTTAACTATTGATAAATATGTAGCACTGATCGTTAGTTACTAATTACCATCACGGAGATCGGGAATTTGAGGTCAACAATCTCTTTCAAAATGTTGACAGAGAGGACAATCCCATTCCAACTAGGAAAAGTCCTACAGATAACAAGCGTACCTTTAGTACCCAGTGTTAACTACCGCCAAATAGTAAATAGAAGTAAAATAAACGTTTACTTACCGAGTATCTTTCATTCTGTTTTGTAGGAGGATGACTTGTTCGAAGTTTGGTGTTGGAAACCAATGCGACATGTCAATTGATTTATCAGACTTTTTCGGGCGTTTAGGTCGTGGGACTATATAGTCCGTCATCTGTGACGAAGGGACGGGTTGTCGTTTACTCTTGCGAATTGCTCCCTGATCTTCACCTCCAGTCTTAGATGTTTGGGCCATATTTTTCTCTTCCTGTGTAAGACCCAGTGACCACACAGGAGGATCAACGCCTGCTGGAATTTCGACCTCTTGCTGGGCATTTGGGACATCATCTCCCAATCCCTTAATGAACATTAAAAAAGTCATATATTAGTAGTTGCTTACAGGAATTTATAGGGCCTAACTAATCTGTTACGTCGACGAATTATTACCGAAATATGAATGACCAGTAGTCATCTATGCGTAGCTAACTACTTTAAATTAGACTTCCTAGATATTTCTAAGGAAAAAAGAAGAAATAGAGTCCAAACCGTTTCCATCAGTGTGCCGGCTGAGATCGCAGATTCAGGAATAGTGTGGTGGGTCTCCAGCATGATCTAGTATACATAAGTGTGTTGTCAAACTTACACATAATCGACTACTTAGTAAATGGCTACATTAAACACAACTATTCATTGATGATATTAATAAAGTTAACGAACCTGGGATTCTGGTCGTACTTCTTTCTGGGGGACTGTTTCGTCGTTGGTCTGAACAGGTGTCTCATCTTCCCGCGGGCCGGTTTGGTCGTTGGTTTCAACAGGTGAGACCTCTTTAGCAGCATCGGTTCCGTCGTTGGTAACAACAGGTGGGAGATCTTTATCAGCATCGGTTTCTTCGTTGATAACAACAGGTGGGACATCTTTATCGGCACCGGTTTGGTCCCTCGCCTGTACAACCTGATATTATTGTATCATATAGTCGAGTACTAAGACACGAGATTGTATGCTTAACTATATGTGAGTGGTAGTCAACTTCTTCCTTAATATGTATCTATTAATAGTTGTCTACTTACGTATGGTGGTGGTGATGGAACAGGCTGGATTATTGGCGGCTCTACATTAACCTACATTAACAAGATAAGTGTGAGTGTGTAGTTTAACTACAAGTATCTGGCTAGTGGTAGTTGACTACGTACCTATACTTGGTCTGATAAATCAGACAGCACACTCGCAATCTGGTTGCTCGCGAGTGTAGCATCATCTTGGACATCATCAACGTCAACTCGCATTTGTCTACCCACTTCGCCAGTATCTCGAGATCCCTCAGCGTCGGGTTCCCTTCTATCTTCATGGGCATCACCATCAACATTTCCAACAACATCACCGACATTGCTATCCACAACGTCGTCACTTTCGGAAGAAGGACTGCTTGAAACCTTGTTCTTTGTACCGTCATCGCCGTCATCTTCTTTTGATGGATTTGAGGACTTGGACTCCTCGGACGAAGAAACCTGTTGAAATCGTACGTGCTTGGCTCTTAGTGGAATGGACTTGACCCTACGGCCAAGGGGTCGCTTAGCAGGTTCTCCAACTTTAGGCGAAGGCTCCTATTGGCTCCGAATATAATCCTTAAAGGTACTCAAAGTGAAAGATACTTCGGAACGAAGGTCAACAAACTCGGTACGAAGACTTTTAATCTCTGATAAGACAAACGAAGTCTCGCGTACAACCTTTTCAAGCATGGAAGAAGCAGCAGGATCTAAATCCACATCGGAAGATGTGTTCCGAGACGATGACGGTGGTGCATTTGGCTGGTTTTGAACGAGACTTGCATTTTCACCGCCATTCCATGTCTTCCTAGAAAATTTCTTGCCTTCACTGATTGCTGCGAGTAAGTTGTCTACGGTTTCGTCCGGGAAATCATCATCAAATGCGAAATCAGTATCATCCAAAAGGTGTTCATCGTCCGGTAAGATTGCTGTGACAGCCACCTGTGATGATAAATTACCACGGGTAATTAGCTACCAAGTATACACCTTTTAATAGTCGATTATATAACACTTGGAACTACTATTGCTATACAGTCCTATGCGACATTACAAGTAGTCTTAATTACCTGTAAGTAGACAACTAAGAATCATGCAATGTTTATATTTTACGCGTAGTTAATTACCAGGGTTCTGATTACCAATAGATATCTACGGCCTAACATAACTTTTTCGTGCCTTGGGTAGTCGTCATCCGGAGGATAAGCTAACTGACTACTAATAACCAGTTACCATTATGTCGAAATATATAACATACCTTCGTATTATTGTCGAGAGACTTCACATGAGGCATCGAGATATTAATCGGTTTCATAGAACCAGTCCGTAAACTTGGGAATTCATCTTCTTCATCAACGTCATCCCTCAGGGTATGCGTGGTTGATTTACCTTTTACATCCTTCTGCAGAATAGACGGAGCACACTCCAAAACTACCATCTGTAAAGCATGTAGAAAACCCTGAAAAGCACATGTTGGCTGACAAAGGTACGATGTCGTAGCTGTCCTAGTTTTGATGCTGTGGATAGTGAGATCAAAGGATTTTCGACCCCAAGGATATTCGAGAAATTTGTCAACATCTTGTACCAACATGATGTGCTCGGCACTAATCTTGGCATTTTTGGAGGTGGGACAGACAATACCGTCTATGAGGAGTAAGCATGCCAACTTGAATCTGGTAGCTTTATCTTTGTACGGTCGGCCGGCAAGTGTATTCGCTATCCATCCAGGGGTTGCATTCCTCTCAGAACCAAATAAATCAACGGTATATTTATTGACCTGGTCTTCCTTCAACTTTTTCGGCGGTGGTAAGTTGGAGCAATCTAACCCCGTCGTAATAGCAAACTCTCTGATAGAAAAGCGAATTGGCTGCCCAGCAAAGAGGCACCAAAGCTCTTTTTTTTCTTTGTAACCAGCTGTCTCGACAAGATGAAATGGAGAAATCTGACTGATGATGCTATCTTGTTGCCTGTTTCAATAATCTTTCCAAATTGGGACAGCGAGAGCTTCTCCATATGGTCTTCTTCCAAAGCATGACTGATAGTCTCGAGATAAGGTAGCTGGAAGTAGGTATTCACTTTTTTATTCGCCGGTTCGTTGCCTAAGGCAAACAATCGGTCCGGAAACCGGGACATGGCTTGTACTCTGTAAAATAGATGCAGTCTATAAGTCAATAACTACCGGATGATAACTAAAAATAATCGTTTATTTGTATATCAATAATAATCATAACAAAACAACAAAAACGGTTGAAGAAAATAGTCAGATAATACCTAAATGACTACTACTAATCAACTAATGTATTCATGTATATACGCCAGTTACGGTCGATTATACAATCGAATTGGGCATAAACTGTCTTGTGATAGAATAGTCGTTTACTTGTATATCAATTTTTATAGTATCGGACCAAACTAAAGTCGCGTGTCACCCCGGAATCCCTAGAGCCCGAAGTTAGAAATAGTTGAAAACGAGAACACGAAATCCTAGATCTGAAATTGGAGCAGAAACGATATCAAATTCGAAATCAACTACAATTATTAATTGAAAATATACGACTATTAGGATAATTATTTACTAATAGCCAGCAAAATTCGAGTAAGAATTCGTTTGTTCAGGGACACCTCTGCGTACGGCGGCGGCGGGGAAACGGGATCTAGAGGATGGGGAAGTACAATAAACGGTGAAAAGCTTACCTTTAAAATTGAGAGGGGCAGGGCAACATAAGCGACGACCCAGTCATCGTTATCGGTGCAGTGCGGCGGAGGCGGTTCGGAGCGGCGGAGGCGGTTCGGAAGGTGGGTGTGTTTTTAGGTTAAAGAAAGGCGTCGGGGAAGATGAAAGATAACAGGGAAGATGAAAGAGAATAAGGGATATAAAGCAAGAAATGACAGTTGCAAATAAGTTCGTGGAGTGAGAGAAGAAAAAGAGAAATGGCAGACGGGAACTTATGAAGGGCAGTAAAGGAAGTTATAATTGCGGTTTATTTGCATTTTTTAAAATAAAAACCGTTATCAGGGCATAAAACGGTTGTTAGCGAGAATAAAAATTTTTTTTTCCCTCCTGCTTAGTGGTTCAGAAAATTAAAAATTGCTAAGATTAGAGGTTCCCAAAATAAATGGCACAACAATATTAAGTCTTACATTAATCAATACAGCACTGATTGGCTTAAACCCATCTGATAATAGTCAACTACATTGGAAATTGATAATAGCTAACTAATAAGTAGGCAACTAATAGTAGTCAAATACCATATATATTATTGTTTGATACAATCAACATACTCAACTAATTAGGGGTCTAACGAGAATTTTGCATGGTGGTAGTAAACGTAGAGGTAGCAGTGTTCACAATACATTAGCTGATGCTTCAAACGGCAGCTGGGGAAATCAAGGGCTAATTGGGGTAAGGATGTATGACTATTAGGGACCACCATTTTCTGGATTAAATCCATCACTTGCTCCCCAATGGAGATCATATGCTCGATTTTTACTCTCCAACCAACCACACGGTCTAACATTTCCATGCCTTTTGGATAGTGCCCAACAGCTGTAACACAGATTGCCAGCATTACAGTCGCCGGTTCAACTCCACCTTTTGAGGCTTGGTTCAAAAACCTCAGCGAACCTTCGATATCATTAGCAACCGTTATTCGGCTTATCCCACGGAGATAGAGTGCAATTGGATTACCTGAGTTGATCGCTGACTCAAAAAAGGTAGGGTAGTCCTGAATTAAACTCGGCCTCTTGACGAAAGCTGATATGTTAATAACTCTTGTAACAGATGGTTCCTTGAATGCTTGGTTGAGGAACTTACAAGATGACGCAAACGAGCAAGCGTCTTCTGCAGATACCGTACCAACTCTTTGGAATATGCCAATGACTGCATCACGAATATGCGGAAACACATCATTTCCCAAAGGATTGACATTGGAGTTTCCTAGGACCGAGATATGCCTACGAAACACACCAGAAAAAGAAGTTAACTATCAAGTTACAGTAGTCACTTATCATGAAAGGGAAGTATATGTTGTCCACTAGTCAACTATCCCATTTCTAAATGTAAATGATTACCGAGATTTAGTAGTCGATTACTATACACGAGTATGGATCTGTAAATAAAAATCTGGTTGGTGAAGAAGACAATGAAACTGGCAACAGTGAAGCTGGAAATCCTTTAAAATGACGCGAGCGCTCTTTAGATACACTAAAATGAGCTAGGAAAAAACTGGAAAATCAGATGTAAAACTATAAGATAAAATAGCGAGTGGGTGCGAGTGATAACAGAGTTCGTGTCATTCACTGTAGCGAATATAGGTACTATGTCGGCAACACCTCAAGGAGTGCTAGAGGAGAAAAGAAAAAATGTAATACTTTCCAGAATCCACCGCTGATTTAGAACTGGATGACGTAGAATACTCGCCGACCATGGTTGATATCCAAAAAAAAAAGACGACGTCGCTACCTAGTCTCAGTCGCCGTTCGTCTGATAAGAGAGAGAGAGGTTCCGAACGTGAAGGAGGAAACAGTAATACTGGGTTGTGACTGATTTGAAATTCAAAATGAATTTCATCGACCCAAGTTCCCCTATAAAGGCCTGGAGAGAGAAATTTGAATTAAAGGTAAAGTGGGATGAAAGAGAAACATGTCAGATAAATTGAAAAATGTTAAGAGATAAACGTTATCATACATCAAGTGTGTTGTAGTGCAATGAAGGTGAGGGGGTATTGGGTACTTTCCATCCCTCGCAAAAATTAGTTTTCGCACACCTAATTGACACTCGTCGTTATGCTACCACACCAAATTTCCCAAATATTTATTCGAAAATGGGTACAAAAAAGGCAAGTGTATGCATGTGTATGCGCTTATGTTTCAACCCATTGAAATAGCTCTATAGCTTGTCCCTTGTCGGGCATTAACAGATAACGTCCGTGTATCAGTGGTGGAGTTACAGCGCATGCATACATTAGCATTTGTCTACTTCTTTTTTATACAACATCATTAGCCATTATAGATCAATAATAAGAGCTGCCAAAAAAAAAATTGATAATATGATTTATTCATTACTTATTTACTTTCCGACATTACTTATTTGTACCTTCGTCCTTTTTTGTCAATATTTGTAGCCTTTAATTTATGTTAAACCAGCCGAGAAGTGAAAGAATACGTATTATATTATTATTATAAACTATAAATTAAAGCGTGTAATTTATGTTGTTGGTATCCGCTTATTTGCGTTTTAACTTTTAAACCAATGGATGAATTGAGTTTTCTTAATTCTTGTTTGCCCAATCTTTAAAATAAAATAAAATTTAACCAACACTTTTGTTTTCTCGTCGAATTGTAGTTTTCTTTATCAACACTTTACACTTAAACTACACAAGGACAACAAACTTATTTTGCCTACCACTAAAATTCAAAATTCAAATAAAGTCAACTTGTTATTTTTCTTTTGTTTTTATCAAAAAGTGAAAAAAAAATCAGCTCATACAATTTGGTAATAAGGGTTTGCTATTAAATTACAGGGAACTGGCGAAAGTAGTCCATTATTTTTCAAAAAACTCTTTTGATAAGATTTTTGCGTTGTTTAGCAATTCGGTGAGCTTTGATAATGATTTCCTTATTTGTTTGAAACCTTCTAAAACGATCAAATACAACGTAAAAGGGCAAATAAATATAAGAAAATAATATAGTAATTGATTCTTTCCACACACTTGTTTCTTTTCGTAATTTCGACAAACGAAAAGCGTAAATAACTACATAATGCTACTATACGTACATCAATTTCATTACAGCCAATAATAACAAACAGAATTATCTTATTATATCTCTATCATGCACGCTTGAGAAACAAACATAAAAAAACCAATCATTTTTCTTTTCAAGTAAAAAATAAGAAGAAGAAGAAGAATATCTGATGAATAATCATAGAAGATCAATGTATTGCCTTATCAACGCATCGATTAACTAAAGCCAACGCATTACTAGTCAACTTTTTGACGTCATCGACCCGTGCGCACACGTCATCTTTCCTCGGCTCATCGTGAACGTCTTTAAACCCGTCTGTACAAGTCTCCTCATCGGTTAAAGCCGCACTGAGCCACGTCTGAACGTTACTCATCTGAAACCTGAACGACTCGAACGAGCCAGTCGAGACCAAATCCCTCATCTGTTTCATCGAGCCTCTCATTTCATCGACCGCGTCTTTAAGATTCTCGAAGCAGTCACGAAAAACGGCGGCTGCAGTTGGATGGGCCCCATTCTCGGAGGTGACGTGGCTAGTCTCCGTGATGACGTTGGAGAGGTATGAGGCTAACTCAAGAGTCTTGGTGAGAGTGACGGAGATTGCGGCTCGAGCCAAGAGAGCTGGCTCGTTGTGGACGGAACTTGAGAAGTTTGAGAGAGAGGTGAAGCAGAGGTCCTGGTATAATGTGGACGTGCAGCTCGTACGGATGAAATCTGAGTCGTCTGATGATTCTTGGGAATGGACGGTCGGGATTAATGGGAGGAAGGTGGCTAATAATAAGGAGAAGAAGAAGAGAAGTGGTTGATGAAATCGATGAGAAGGTTTCATGGTTTCTTCTGTTCTATGTGTGTTGGATTTTTGTGACAGGGAAGTGTCTCTTTTTGCTGTTGTGGATAGTTTGGAATTGGTGACCTCAAAGTTTATATTTATATAGAGAGACTGTAACTAACACACACGGTTCTCTTTTTGTGCCAATCATGCGAATTACAACTTGACGTTAATACCCTTCGAAAGTTTTGATGGGTTTCGGGAAAATGTTGATCGGAATCCATACGTTTAATGGGCCGGTGTGGAATAGTGTACCTTTGCTTTTGTTTGTGAAATACCGAAATGAAAGTGCAAACTCTCTTACACATCTAGTTGAATCGACAAAGTCAAAAGTCTTTTTTTTTTTTTTTTAAACCAAGTCAAAGAGTACCATTTTTTTCATCTAACTTTTTTATTAGGACTTAGAAAACCTTACAAAACGAACCACCCATATGGAAAAGCGGCATAACAAGTACAAATCCCCAAAAACAAAACCGAAAACATAATTTTTCTCCAGAGACAAAGCTATATATCTGTAAAAGGGAAGCAAAAGACTTTTTTTTTTTTAAATGTAAAGGTTATATTATCAATTTTCAGTTTTTGACAGAATTACATATATTACAAAGGAAACAGATTAACCGAAAAACTACTAAATAACGACAAATAAGCAATAAACAACAACGAAAGGCTAAGAAAGATGGTTTAAGAGACAAGAAAATTAAAACCAAAACAACACCAAACCGAAACCGAAACGTGGACCATCCCGTTTTGCCGTAGTCTCGAAGAATTAGAGTTCTCATCATCGTTGCCACAAGCATCATCCCGAAGCCAGCCCTCAAACCTTAAGAGTGAGACGCCTACAGCTTCTCCGAGAACTAACGGGATTTCCGATTTCCGTAACGGACAAACTTGCAACCGACATCCAAACTGCTAATGAATCACTAATGAATCAAAGGTATTAAAACCAAACTGTAAACCGAATATCACCCACAACATTTTTCAAGTGACCTTAATATACTGAAACGAATATGATACCCAAAAATATGATATTCGAGAAGAACCAAAACCGAAGAAAGACTTAACTCGATCTAAAAAAAAACATACCATCTCTAGGTACCATCTAACTTATTTTATTTTATTTTTTCCAAATTTTTTTATCTTATATAGTAATAACATCAAAAATGATTGTTCAACAAAACCAGAGCAAAGATGCCTACACAAGTTTTACATCGCTGCTTGAGATGTACTAGAAGCGTTGGTTTTACATTGGAAAAGAGTGCATAGCCAAAATAGGCATATGGTATTGGTCTATTTCATGTTTTAGCCGGCCCCTCTGTTCGTCGTATCATATCGATACATACTTTTAGGTCTCATGCATGTTATTCCTTGTATCACAAATAGGTTTTGTTTTGGCGGTATTAATTAAAAATGTATCGTACGTATTGCCATTAGAGTTTAAAAACTCATAACGGTTGTAGGTCTCGTCGCTTGATGAGCTTCGTTACCACTTACCATTACAAATCTCAGCCGTCATAATTTAAATTTGGGCTCCCTAGCTCGCAAGCCGTTTGTCAATCAATTTCACATGAATGGACTGCATTCATAGCATTCCCTTTTGTTATATGGACTTTCATTCGGTGTGCATTCAATAGTCTATCTGTATGAATTGAATTGTGTCTTATTTAGTTTAGAGTAATATCTCAATTTTCTAACATCTAACATCTTGTTTTGTTTTTTTCCATATAAAATATACCTTATTTTGTTTTGTTTTTTCATATACTTTTTATATATCCTATCCTATATTTCCATGGGATATGGAACATGCTTTCTTAAAAATGTAACTTTATATATATATATATATATATATATTTTTTTTTTTTGCTAACATTTGGAATGTAACTCTATTTTTTACTTCCCAAGGGAAATGCAAAGCCAGAATGATTGAGTTACATTGGTCAAATTATTCTTTGGCTCTACATTTAATAGTTTAGTTCCCCCATAATTCTGGCTTTGCATTTCCTTAGGGAAAAAGAAAAAACAATCTCAAAATATTGTCTGGCGCATTGAGCAAGGAAGATTAGATGCGTCGGCTTTGTGCAAGTTGCAAACCGCATATGGAAGTAAAATTATATTGTATGTCAAATTGTCAACTTTTTTTTTGTCAACGTTTTCTTTTGACCTTTCCCAAAACTATTGCATTTCCCATCTGGCCATCTTATCAATTTTTCATTTTATAACGCATCGTATTCGTATCAGGCATATGCAACCATGAATTGCAATTAAGACTTGAACTTTCCCCCTCTAAAAGCAGAGGAAGAAACGGATATAGTTCGGATCAATACAACTCCGATTAAAAAAATCATGTTTGACCATATAACAGAATGTAGTAAACTACATTTACATAAGTTGAATAACCTTAAGTTTTCGGTTGAAATCATCATTGAAATTCGAATTAGTTTTCTGCTTAAGCTTTATATGATGATTGGTTAAACGAGTTGAATCCGGCACATGAGTCCTCCTAACACATGAATATATGTATATGCATTGACTTTTTATGTTAATCATTTCTATGATATGACCAACATACGTTTTTTTGAAAATTGCTATAATTATATCAAGACGTAAATCTTGGTTTACTTATAAAATTACAAGTTGTAATATGGATAGAGAGAGCCGTACCGAAATCTTTACGTATGTCCTAAAAAGCCTAAATTATTGGGAACCAAAAACTCAAAAAATCAAAATCACTCGTCAATCACGGGTCATAACCCGACCCGACCAATCGTATTTAATTCTTGACCCAACATGGAGTTTCGTCCAATCAAATAAATACACGTGGACGCTATCCATTGGCTATTGTCTCTGGAATCGCAAAGGACTTTTTTTTCCCCCGAGTATAAAAAGAAACTCACCACGCTACGCTCTTCCCATCTCTCTCCAATACGAAAAGATCGAAAATGGCGGGAAAATCTCTAAACTTATCGGGCATTGCTCCGGCGACGATTATCCTCTTCATGCTCCTTATAATCTCACCGGAGATCTACGCCGGACACGATTACCGCGACGCTCTACGAAAGAGTATTCTCTTCTTCGAGGGTCAACGCTCCGGCAAACTCCCACCAGACCAACGCCTTAAATGGCGTCGCGACTCCGCCTTACGCGACGGTTCCTCCGCCGGCGTGCGTCCTCCATTTCCCTCTCCAAAAATCCTCTCTCTATACTAACTTCAATCGTCACTGAGATTAATTTCGCTCTTTTTTTTGTTGTTTCAGGTGGATTTAACCGGAGGGTACTACGACGCCGGAGACAACGTGAAATTCGGTTTTCCGATGGCTTTCACGGTAACGATGATGTCGTGGAGCGTAATCGATTTCGGGAAAACGATGGGGCCGGAGCTGGGAAACGCCGTGAAAGCGATCAAGTGGGGAACGGATTATCTCCTGAAAGCGACGGCGATTCCAAGCGTCGTGTTCGTCCAAGTCGGAGACGCTTACTCCGACCATAATTGCTGGGAACGCCCCGAAGATATGGACACGTTGCGAACGGTTTACAAGATCGACAAGGACCATCCTGGATCTGAAGTCGCCGGCGAGACCGCAGCCGCTTTAGCCGCCGCGTCGATCGTTTTTGAAAAACGCGATCCAGCTTACTCCAAACGCTTGCTGGACCGAGCTGCAAGGGTAACTTTTACTTTAACGCTCTTTTACTTTCTTTCTTTTTTAAAACGGAAGAAAGAAAAGGAAAAAAAATCGTGATTTTTGTTTTTGTCAAAAAGTTTAACAACTGATTATATACTTTGCTTTGCGTGATTAGTATTGTCTAATAATGTCTTTCCCGTACATTTTTGATTTCCCTTGTTCTAACATGCTATGAATTATGAAGCACTACTTCACTTTAAAATATTGACCTAAAGAAACAAAGCATTTGACTTTCTTTATTGACATCCAAATATTTGACTAATTTTGTAAATGGACGCAGGTGTTCGCGTTCGCCAATAAGTACAGAGGAGCGTACAGTGATAGTCTTCACGAAGCAGTGTGTCCTTTTTACTGCAATTTCAACGGTTACGAGGTAATCAAAGAGTTTACTTTAATTAATTATATTTCCATAACTGGAAGGTGTAAAAATGATCAATTTTGAGATTGGTGGTGCGTACGTGCAGGATGAGTTGCTTTGGGGAGCTGCATGGCTACACAAAGCTTCAAAGAAACGAGTGTACAGATTGTATATTATGAAGAACAAAGAGATTCTAAGAGCTGGAGATACGATCCACGAGTTTGGTTGGGATAACAAACGTGCTGGGATTAATGTCTTAATCTCCAAAATGGTACTAATGGGAAAAGCAGATTATTTTCAGAGTTTTAAGCAAAACGCTGATGAGTTTATCTGTTCTTTATTGCCTGGAACTTCTCACCCTCAAGTCGAGTACTCACTAGGTAAATATTGGATTTGGAACCACCAAAAACAAATATAATTAATCATTTATTACACATAGTTTCTTTCTTTAATAGTTTTTTTTTTCATAACTAAACACATTTATATATACACAGGAGGGCTATTAGTGAAGAGTGGAGGGAGTAATATGCAGCATGTAACATCTTTGTCGTTTCTGTTAATAGCATATTCTAATTACCTAAGTAACGCCAATAAAGTGATTCCATGTGGTGATTTCACAGCTTCTCCCGCTCTTCTCCGTCAAGCCGCCAAGCGTCAGGTAACTAACTTATTAACTAACTTAACACTCTTACGTGCCTCTGTTTCAGGCTTTTAGCATTGAGACATTAAATTAACCTAGCATGTGTTTTTGTGTTGTTTGGGGCGTACGTTAACAAAGGTGGACTACATACTAGGAGATAATCCGATGAAAATGTCTTACATGGTTGGATATGGTTCGAGGTTTCCACAGAGGATTCACCATCGTGGCAGCTCGGTTCCTTCCATCGTGGACCATCCTGGTCGCATAGGGTGCAAAGACGGTTCACGCTATTTCCTCAGTCCGAACCCTAACCCTAACCTGCTAATTGGCGCCGTCGTTGGTGGTCCCAATGTCACTGACGATTTTCCTGACTCGAGGCCTTACTTCCAGTTGACTGAGCCCACGACTTACATCAACGCACCTCTCTTGGGTCTTCTTGGTTACTTCTCTGCACATTCTTGATTTTTCCTATATCCCAAAAGCAAGATGATGATGATGATGATGATAGTTGCGCTCGTTAAGAGTCTAGAGGTGTGCTGATAACTAGACCGCCCTACCAGATGTTGAAAGTTGATTTGTAGTTGTTTGTTACGCCACAAGAATTTGCCGATGAAAAGAAAACAAAAGGAGATAACATTATTCTCAAACCAATTGATTTGTTTACTAATATATATGTGTAAACACAAATGACCCATCTTACTTTGGAAGCAATATGTCTTCTTAATGGAATGCCTTTCTTTATTTTTATGAGGTCAAATGTTCTTACTCCATAGTCAAATGAAGCAACAGTTTCGTCTAATAATATACATCCGTACCTATATGTTACTTCCTTGTCCCATTTTTGATATTCCAAAGCATGGCGTCTAAAAAATGTAGATAATTAATTAACTTTACATGTTTTTTTATTTTGTATGTGTGAAACAAAAATGTTTATATTTTTATATTACGCGCAAACTAGAATTTTGTGACCATACAAATTAGTGGAAGGGAGATATATTCACAAAGCATTGTTTATAATACATAATTTTTTGTAAACACAAACATTTCCCCTTAACTTGTAAGCAACATGTCCCTAGTACAAGCAATATTCTTTTATTCTTGTTACCAAATAATCAAATCGATAAATATTACTCCCTCCATTTCATAATAAATGTTTTTTTAGATTTCATTTTTTTGTTTTAAAAAGAGTGTCATTCTGCATTTTCAATGTAACTTTTTACTCTTATTTCCTGTTTTATCCCTCATTTAAAGATAATAATCTTTGTAATTAAATGTTATAAAAATATATTATTTAGGGGTATATTAAAAATGTTTGTTAGAATGACACTTATTATGAAACAGAGGGAGTAGTATATTTTTCTTCATTAGTTGGTCGTTTCGTTTTCTTTCAACTACAGTACATTAAATAGTCAATCAATTTTAATCATAGGAGAAGTAATTATTATTCATGAGTTATGAGTTAATCATGAGTTTATGACCAACTAAAGCCTAAAGGTGTACTTTATCCTTAAAAAAAGAGAAAGAGAGTAAAATTAGGAATTTGTCTTTGGTCAGCTACTTTCCGCTAAAACAAGAGCGCTATTTTGTCTCCTACACACGCCTTACCTTTTTTAATCCGGGTTTCTCAAAAAAAATCATTCCTTTTCTTCTCTCTCTCTCACAGACATTTTATCAAACAGATGGTGCTCACTCCGAAACAGTTAACGAACTAACTAGCCCTAGGGGACTAGCTTGGTTTTTCTCCGATTAAAAAGGAGGAAAAAACGAAAACAAGGGCCTTAGCTGAGTGATGTGAGAGCGAGAGAAAACATGGAAAGAGTTGAGCTAGAACTAGAGAGAAGAAGCAAGTTCTTGAACAGCCTGATACAGAAAAAGAAAGCTAAAGAGCATCAGGATCAGAAAGAAGAGTTCAATGTTAGAGTTCGGGCTTCGGATATGCCTCTGGCTCTGCAGAACAGAGCCTTCAGTTTGTCGCGTGAGCTCTTGAATGCCACTCCTGGAAAAGCCGACAACAAACGACTCGCTCTCGCTCTAAAAAAGGTAGATCCTTTGTCTCTCTTCTCTGATTTCTCCGTCTCTAGCTTAAAAATCGCGTCTTTTTACTACTGTGGAGTGGGTTTTGAAATTTGACACAGAATCTAGTAGTGTGCTACTTTTGTGTCCTAGGGCGACCGTCTCAAGTCGCATGCTTTTCTATAAACTGTGGTATTGTCTTCTCGATCTTGCTTGATTTTTAGATGTGTACTTGTGTGGCGAATCAGGAATTTGGATTTTCGCTTTGCGTACTTTGCATATTATCGAAATTCATGTATGGTCCCCTATTTGTTTTGTGGCTTTCATTTGGTTGCATTTTTTACTTTGTTCCATTGTTCTCTTTTCCATTTGCAGGTTCTGGTAGTCTACTTGACCTGGTCTTTTTTGTATTGCGAGGATAGCTTTAGTTTGAATCTCTTTGTGATAAGTCTTGAACCTGGATGTTCTTGTTGCTTATTGAGATGGTTTTTGAGCTGACTTAGGCCATGGCTTATGGATTTCTTAGAAGTTTCTTTATCTCTGCTGTTTAAGTCAGATGATACCTGATGATAAATCTGAAGCATTTTGCTTTACGAAATGAGCCTTGCCCAAATGGAAACTTCTACAAAGGACTCAGTTGTCTTCCGATAGACCGGTCTGGCATTACTACCCCCATATATAGAATTGTATGCAGCTTTTGCATAGAATTGTACATGGCCTCAGGTTTTAATGACTAACACTTTAAAATATCTGAGAATATTGCTCCTATTTAGAGGGCGTTGATGGTCCGCTTTTGATTTTATCTTATGAGCACTTGTATTTGACTTTATTAGTCTTTCAATTCCTCATATGTGACTAGGTAGAGGTACCATTTTTCACAAGTGCAAAGATGTTTTTGGTGCTCGAACGTGGATGAAAGTTGCAAACTTTGAATGATCCAAGTGAAAATAAGAGAGGCATTTACATTGGTTTCACGAGTGGTTGAGTAAAAAACTTAAGAGTGTCGTTCATAAGAATAGAGGCTTTATGTTTTTCTCAATGGTTCACTAATCTTTCAAATAATGGCTACCGTTCCTAACTCTTTATGTCAGTTTTTTGTACTTGTTTTATCTTCTTGTTTCTGCTGGTTTCCTATCTCTTCGTTTTCTTCAAAACTTGAGCTTTTGTCCCTTTGTCAAACAACACGTTGCATCGAAATTAAACTTGCATCAGATGTATAAACTTTACTTTCGCTCTCTACTCTATAAGAATGTTTTCCATCTTGCCTTTCATTTCAGGACTTCGATTCTGCGTATGGACCGGCATGGCACTGCATTGTTGGGACCAGCTTTGGTTCGTACGTGACTCATTCCATTGGAGGATTCATATATTTCCAGATCGACAAGGTTTATGTTCTTCTATTCAAGACTGCAGTGGAACCCTTAGATCACCAATGAGAAAGTTGATCCATCTAAAAACGGAGCGAGGATCTTCAATTTGTCCCTGTCCCTCCCTTTCGATTTCTCTGTGCCTGTATTCACGCTATTTATTTAGACTTGGATAAGTTAATCTCCTAGACAAAATCTAGGTTTATGACTTATATTGTGTAAATTACAAATGAATTGTTTCGACTTTGTATCCTCTCTTTTTCTTTGTTAATTTTTGTGTGATTATTTTGTCAAAACTTGCGGAAGATATATGCCTGTTTATTTTGGATATAGAGTGGGTAATAACGAGCGAGATTAGATACGAATCATTTAGGTTATAAACTTCAAAAGTTAGTTGTCGGATTTGAGCATTTGGACTTCTAACTAATTTTGAAAACACCGAATTATCCGTCTAATATCCATCCGTATCTATTGATTCTCAAGGAAAAATGCACGCACATGCATAAAGAAAGACAAGCCCAAGGAGATGAAGAAGCTTGTTGTTTTCTTTGTTGAACATTCGAGCTTTAAACCCAAAACCTCCCTTAGCAATTTTTTTTTTGTTTTCTTTTCAATTGAGGTTTATTAGAGAAGCAAAGAAACAAGAAGGAAAGATCACAAACGAAGTGACAAGAGGAAATGGATCAATCGCAGCGCACAGTCGCTGCTCCTTCATCTTCTCGATCGTATCAGTTCCATCCTGCGCGTGCCGCAATTATCGATCTTTTCAATCTCTACTTAGGGGTTAATCTCTGTTCTTCATCTCCGACTTTTGTTCGATTTCTTTCTCCATCTTCGCTGCTGATTTTACCTTCTTTTACAGAGAGGGAACCGCCAAAAGCCCGATGAATCCATCCGAGATCCCCCGTAGGTTTCTTACGATCCTTGAATCGATAGCTTATTGTTTTTCGAATAGCTCATCTTCTCTTGTTGAGACCACGCTATTGATTTTTGTTAACAGGAACAAATCCCAGAAGCGTGTTCACGCTCCTAACAGAGACTTACCCCCTAGAAACGAGCAATTCATTTTGGATTTCGAGCAGCTTCAGAGCCAATTCGGTGTAAAGATTCAACCTTTATCGTCTCTTGTGGTTTTCCAACATATGGTTTTGCTGACATCGAGCTAATTTAACAGGACCCAGATCAGTTGAGAACAATCACGGAATCAGTTTTGATATCTATGGTGTTGCAGTGTAGCAATCATGCACCTCGTGCTGAGTTTCTCCTCTTTGCCTTGCGTACATTATGTAGAATTAGTTACATTAATTGGGATACCTTTTTACCATCCCTCCTCTCGTCGGTTTCTGCTGCTGAGGCGTCTCTAAGCCAAGTTGCTCAAGCAGCAACGGCTGGTTCTTCAGCAACTTCTTCACAGTCTTTAGCTCCCGTAGCTTCCAATACTATCCCTAGCACACTGTTGCCTTCAGCTCATGGTATTGGTTCCTCATCACCTTCAGGAAATGAACCAGGTAATGTGCAACAGGTTGCTAGGGCGGGCCAACGCGTTAGAGCTGCAGCGATAAACAGTCTGCGCCAGCTCAGTTGCAAGATTATCCTGATTGGCATTGAATTTAACCTCAAACCCGTCACTCATGCCGAGATCTTCCAGTACATGATGAATTGGCTTGTGAACTGGGACAGGAGAGATCTGGGAACTGAGGACTCTGCGGGAAAGTCGTGGAGGTCTGCGAAGACTTTAGCTGAATGGTTACGGAGCTGTTTGGATGTGATCTGGCTGTTGGTAGAAGAGGGTAAATCTCGGATACCGTTTTATGAGTTATTGCGCAGTGGTCTACAGTTTATAGAGAACATACCTGATGATGAAGCCTTGTTCACTCTTATCATGGAGATACACCGGAGGAGAGATGCAATGGCCATGCACATGCTCATGTTGGACCAACACCTTCACTGTCCAACGTTTGGTACACATCGTATTTCGTCCCAGTCAACTGCCAATGTTTCAGTTGAAGCTGTGGCACACCTTCGCTATTCACCAATTACATATCCCAGTGTGCTTGGGGAACCTTTATGTGGAGAGGTGATTCCCTTGAAATCATGGAGCGTACCAGATTGTGTAATGTACATGCTTTGCATTAGGCAGGCATCATGTGAGTTTTAATTCCTTTCGTTATTTACACTTATAGGATCTGGCAATGTCTATTCCAAAAGGAAGCCTGGATTGGGAGAGAGCAGTGCGTTGCATTAGACATGCTATTCGCACTACACCGTCGCCGGACTGGTGGAAGCGTGTTCTTGTTGTGGCCCCCTGTTATAGACCTTCTGCACAAGCGGGGCCTATCCCTGGTGCCGTTTTCACTTCTGACATGATTTGTGAGGCAATCATTGACAGGATTGTTGAGCTTCTTAATCTGACCAACTCAGGCAATGTTTGTCTATCCCTATCTGTCACTTCCTTTTAATTCAAATAGCAAATGATTTTGAAATCGTCCTAAATCTGTAAAGAACCTATTTTCTTTACGTTATTCTAGTTCAGATTAAGTTTGAAAGTTCATTCGTTAGGCTTAGATAGAATAAGATATACTAGGACTGCTTAGGTATTGATTTGGTTTTCTGTTGCTTTTCCCCCCTATCTATGCAGATGCGAATTGCTGGCAAGAGTGGCTGGTTTTCTCAGATATATTCTTCTTTCTAATCAAAAGTGGGTGTACTGACTTTGTTGATTTCATTGATAAGTTGGTTTTACGCCTTAACGGTGTTGATAAGCATATTCTTCGAACGAATCATGTGACGTGGTTACTTGCCCAAATAATACGCGTGGAGCTTGTGATGACTGCTTTGAATGCTGATGCTAAAAAGGTCGTTTCTCACTAACAGTGATATGCTTGCTACTGCAATTCAATACCTTGTACTTCCTTTTCTTTGAGTTTGACATCGCAACTTCTGCTCTATTTGGGCTTTCCCTCAGGTGGAGACTACTAGGAAGATCTTATCATTTCACAGGGAAGATAGAACTGATCCCAATAATCCTCAAAGTGTTTTGCTTGACTTCGTAAGCAGTTGTCAGAATCTACGGATTTGGTCACTAAGCGCAACAACTAGGGCATTCCTAAACAATGAACAACTGTTGAAGGGAAAACAGATTGATGAGTGGTGGAAAAGCAAAGGTAGATTATAACGACTGCTTGCGAAGTAGGAAGCCAAGAGAATTCTTGATTATGAAAACTCCCCTCTCATTTTTTTTCTTATTTGGGGGTTTTCAGGAGAGCGCATGATGGATTATATGAATATGGATGATAGGTCGATTGGCATGTTTTGGGTTGTTTCCTATACAATGGCACAACCGGCGTGTGAAACAGTTATAAACTGGTTATCTTCAGCTGGCATGGCTGAGATGCCTGGATTACAACCAAACGACAGAGTAATGATGATGCAGGAAGTGACCCCATTACCGATGTCATTGTTATCTGGCTTTTCAATGAACTTGTGCTTGAAATTGGCCCTTCAAATGGAAGAAGCTTTGTTTGTTAGCCAGGTTTGTGTACTTTGTCTCACAAGGATATAATATATGTTATGCGATGCACTGATCTATGGAGTGTTACGTAGTGACCTGTTTTCTCCACGGTCCAGTAAATAACTTTAGAGTTTTGATTGTTTAAAATTGTTATAGTGGATTTTAATTTCCTGATTAAAATGAATTTGATGTCGTGGTAAAACATCTGGGTGCAGGTTGTTCCTAGCATTGCAATGGTTGAAACATACACAAGATTGCTGCTCATTTCCCCGCACTCGATGTTCCGTTCGCATTTCAGTGTAAGCTATTTGTTTTTTCATTTGCTTTTTGATTCTCATCATCTAATGTTTATTACTGTTGTCTATTGATCATAAGCGATTTACGAGATTGGCTAACTTTCTGTAGCAATTGGCCCAGAGAAATGCTTCTCTGCTAAGCAAGCCTGGGGTGACTTTGCTTGTTCTTGAGATTCTGAACTACCGTTTGCTTCCGCTATACAGGTAAAATGAGCGAAAAAGTTCTCAAGTTGGAGTAGATCCTTCTATACTTTTCAGCTGGGCCATTCTCTTAGTTGGATGAAACTTGTGTCGGGCATACAAAATTACTGATCTTATGCATGCACCTTTTGCAGATACCAAGGAAAAAGCAAAACCTTGATGTATGATGTTACTAAAATAATCTCTGCATTGAAAGGAAAACGTGGCGACCACCGTATATTCAGACTAGCCGAAAATTTATGCATGAATCTCATTTTATCACTCAGAGACTTCTTTTCTGTGAAACGGGAGGGGAAAGTAAGTGATTTTTTTCGGATCAAACCTCACTGTCCCCTGCTTATTTTTGTGCCAGGATGATTCAGGTGTAATTGTGTGAATAATTGTTCTTATGTTATTATCTCCAGGGGCCAACTGAATTCACTGAAACATTAAACCGCGTAACCATCATGACTCTTGCTATCACAATCAAAACACGTGGTATAGCAGATGCTGATCACCTGGTTTATCTGCAAACCATGTTGGAACAAATACTCGCTACGAGTCAGCATACGTGGTCAGAGAGGACGCTGCGCCATTTCCCAACTCTTCTCCGTGAAACTTTGATTAGACGGGTAGACAAGAGGAGCCTATCAATTCAAGCTTGGCAACAGGCTGAAACAACTGTAATAAATCAGTGCACTCAGCTTCTCTCACCATCTGCTGAACCCGCTTACGTTATGACATACCTCAGTCACAGTTTTCCTCAACACCGTCAGTATCTATGTGCTGGTGCTTGTCTTCTGATGCAAGGCCACCCTGATAACATCAACAGCGCAAATCTGGTTTGTTTGCTTTGTCTCTTCAAAGTTGTGAACAGAGTGTGAATTGATAGCGGCATGATTTTCTCTTCGAAATGCTTATCAGGCAAGGGTGCTGAGAGAAGTTTCTCCTGAAGAAGTCACTGCGAACATATACACTTTGGTAGATGTTTTGCTTCACCACGTTCGTAAAGACCTTCAGCAAGGACACAATTTAAAGGTTCCTCTACTTGTTGTCTGAAGAGATTTACCTCACTTTTCGTTGCTTTGATTTCTCACCATCTTCCTACATTGCTTTCTACAAATTTTCAGGAAGTTCTAGCCAAGCAAGACGCAAATCTTGCATTTTTCTTCTGGACACACGAAATGCTTCCTCTAGACATTTTTCTTCTGGCGCTCATTGACCGCGATGATGATCCGCACGCCTTGATAATTGCGGTATGTTCATGCTTTTACGTGAAATAAGCGTAAGATTATATAAAATTAACAGTTGTTGTTTTCTCGATTTATTTACAGAAAAGCCTTCTTGTAAACGAAGCCCTTCTGCAGAGGATCAAAGGGTACTGCTCAAATCGTGGCCCTCCTGAGCACTGGCTTAATACGCAGTTGTTCAATCGCAATGAACTCCAGAAGGCCCTTGGTAACCATCTTTCTTGGAAGGACAGGTAATGTGTCTCGCCCATTTCACCCTCAATATTACTGCTTCTTAGCAATAGTTCACTTAATTACTCCATGAGAACTTGGCAAACTTGTGTGTGACCATGAAATGTGTGAATTATCATTTTTATGTTTTTTTTTTTGGCAATTTTGTGTAGCATTCTGTTAAGAGTTTGGAATCTGTTGCCTTTTTGATTGTGTAAAACCCAGGTATCCAACGTTCTTTGATGATATCGCGGCGCGTTTGCTTCCAGTTATCCCTCTGGTGGTGTACAGGCTCATCGAGAACAGTGCGTTTGAGCTAGCTGATATTATTTTGTCTGCATACGCGAAATTTCTAGCTTATCATCCTCTCAGATTCACGTTTGTCCGTGATATACTTGCCTATTTCTATGGTCATCTTCCCGGGAATCTTGTTGTGGGCGTTCTCAAAGTACTTGATCTCAGCAAGGTAATTGAAAACAAAAAATAATCATTTTTCTTTTTATTCTGAAAATGATCACAAGATGCCTTTTCTAGAGTTCAGCTTTCAACTCAAATTGATTGTTCAATTTATTGCCTTGATGTTTTTCTTTGTTTCTCACCATTTACCTTTGGCCGTAACTGTTTCCACATTGGGTTAATTGGAACCTAACAACTCTATTCACATTTTCCGCAGATTCCATTGTCTGAATCATTCCCGCAGTACATCACCTCTTCCAGTGCCCCTACATGCCCACCTCTCGATTACTTCGCCACTCTTCTGCTTAATCTCGTAAACAATGTTATACCTCCACTTAGCAGCAACTGCAGCTCGAGGTCTGGCTCAATGGCAGACTTCTTAAACAGCTCAGTGAGACCTCCTCATGGAAAAACTCCAGGAGCATCTCAGCCCGGACCAGCAAACGCCTCTGAGGGACATAAAGCATTCTATCAGATCCAGGACCCGGGAACTTACACTCAGTTGGTTCTTGAAACGGCAGTGATCGAGATCCTCTCGCTTCCCGTCTCAGCTTCAGATATTGTCTCTTCGCTTGTCAAGATAATTGTCAACATACAATCCACACTTATTCAATCTGGCAACAACGGGTTCCACGGCGCTGCAAACGGGGTGGGGCAAGGGTCGGTGCTCCCTACGTCTCCCTCAGGAGGGAGCACGGATTCCATGAGCGCAAGCCGGTCCACTTGTGGTATTAACACGGCGAGCTTTGTCTCTAGAAGCGGTTACACATGCCAGCAACTGTCGTGTCTGTTGATTCAAGCTTGCGGGCTTTTGCTGGCTCAGCTCCCTCCAGATTTTCACACGCAGCTTTACATAGAGGCGTCACGTGTTGCAATTGACACATGGTGGCTTAATGACGGGAAGAGATCAGAAGGTGAACTAGACTCGGCTGTTGGATATGCTTTGATGGATCCTACATGGGCTGCTCAGGACAACACCTCAACCGCCATAGGTAATACTATAGCTTCTAAATTCATAGGTGAATGTTTGTTGTGTTTGTATTTTGTTTTTACATGTGAATCGTTGTGTCTTCTTCCAGGAAATATAGTCGCCTTGCTTCATGCTTTCTTCAGCAATCTCCCACAAGAATGGCTTGAAGGCACGCATATCATCATCAGGAACCTCCGGCCTGTGACATCTGTTGCAATGCTCAGAGTGGCATTCCGTATTATGGGGCCACTGCTCCCAAGGCTTGCAAACACACGTACGCTCTTTAACAAGGTACTCTTATGGCTCCTAACCATGTGAAGTGGTCTTACTTCGAGTTACTATGTAACGTTCTGTTCATGTGAACTGATATATCAATGGCTGGTCAGAATTTGAAATTCTGTAGATGCCGTCTTCGAGCAGCGATAGCAAAAGGCCATTCATGATATCATTTTACTGTTGCTCTAAGCATGTTCATAATACGCAGTCTCTCAAGTAAAACATAACTGGAATGATACTTCCATCTCCAGATGATGTTCATCACAAAACTCGACTACGTGTTTCGTTTGACTTTGGTATACTTTTCTGTTTCTCGACAGACGTTAGCCCTTCTCTTGAGCACAATGGTCGATGTTTTCGGAAAGAACTCGCAGACACCGGTCCCTGTTGAAGCATCCCAGATTGCAGATCTTATCGATTTCCTGTAAGCTTCTACATTACCATACCCAAAACATGGACTCATTTTCTTTAAATCGAATAACAATCATATAGCTATTTTCTTGATCCCAAGCCAGGATCATGTGAACCTTATGTTGTTGATCTGCGTGTGTGGTCTTGAGAGGATTTGTTTGGGTGATTGTATGTCACATTAATGAGCTTGTCGGTTTCAAATTGTTGCAGACACCATATTGTTCACTACGAGGGACAAGGAGGAGCTGTTCAAAGTAGCAGCAAGCCGAGACCAGACATACTGGCGTTAATCGGAAGAGCAGCGGACTCTCTCCGACCAGATGTACAACACCTTTTCTCTCACCTCAAAACCGATCCCAATTCTTCGATATATGCAGCTGCTCATCAGAATACAGCAAAGACCAGCACCTCTTGATAAGAAACTTAGATATTGTGTGTCCGTTGGTGAAGGCAAAGTCGGTAGAGAAGCGCAGAAACTGGTTTCATTAACAGCTTATTCTAGTAAATTATGGTTTGCAACTAATTTTTTTTGTACTGTGTATGTATATATATATCAATGATCACATTTTGTTTCTGTTAATTTTTTTTTTTTTTTTTTGTATTTTTAACTAGAAAATGATCTCAGACATTTTGAAGTCACAAAAAAAACAATGCCTAATTTTTTTCTAATAACACAAGATTTGGAAATAAATTTAATTATTGATTTTGAAAAATCCTGGCCTCTTTAGCTACTTCCTCTCCTAGAGGAACTGAACAATCGCTTGTGTAAGCTTTCACGGTGTCTAGTCTGAATATGCATATGCATGTAAACAATTTCATATATATTGACAAAGAAATATCAATAACAAAGCTAACATACTATAAAAATAGACGAAGAACTATATTTTTTAACAGGTGTTCATTTTTTTTATACCGTAGTATTAACAAACCGGACAATATACACAGTACCAAAAAAAATATACGCTTTTCACATAAATATACAAAAGTCACATAAAAATATTCATTTGCAGTGATGAAGATAATGAATAAGAATTGGTTGTAGGATTTAACGTAGTTTTTGATTCTTGTCACGAGAAGAAGAAGATGGTGATCTTTGTTTCTCCATCTGTTTTTGATTCTTGTCACGAGAAGAAGAAGAAGATGATCTTTGTTTCTCCAACTGTTTGAAAAGACTGCCATCGTAGACACCCCTTACTGTCTCTTTTGTCAACAAACCATTTTTGTCTTGGCATAACTCATGTAATATCTTCCATTCTGCATATGCTGAAATCCTGTATATACATATACAACATTAGGTATAAGCATCGTACACTATAATTAATGGAAATATATTTGCTTAAGATAGTAAATGCATGCATCGTTCTTTATCACTTCTATAATTTTTTTCTTCTTTTTTCTCTATCACTAAAAATATCGGAACAAAGATACTTCTACGTATATAACTTGTAGAAATCAATCATTCAGTAAAATAAACAAAAAAAAAAAGAAACAACGAACCATCCACCGTAATCTTTAGGGTCTCTATTAGTCTTAAGCAATTGTTGAATTTCCTTGTAAGTAAGTGCATTTTGATGTGTGTGAGCATGTTTCTTGAATATTTCCTCGAATTTCGATTCCACAAATCTGCAACATTCAGAAGGAAGTAACTCTAGTTAAGTTCAAAATACGTATGCATGCATGAAAACACATATATTATCAAAAAGAAAAAATCAATTTATATAGCATCTAGGTTTTGAGAAAAAGATGATAAGGAAATGAAAAATACCTTCCATCTTTGTCATAGGCGTCAGTGTCACTACCGTGGATGGCAAGGCGACTATTCTTCACTTCTATTGGAAACAACGGCGAGAAACCCTTGCCCTATTCAACTTTCTCAACGGCCTCAATTACATATTATCATAATTAATGCTATAATATAAATCCAAATAGTTTTGAAATAAATTGATTGCATAGTCAAACGGCTAGAATAGCAAACGTTATGAGTCGATTCATTTCTTTTTTTAGCTAATTGATATTGAATTTGAAGCTCATTATTTCTATAGCTAACCATTCTATTTGATTCAATGTAAGCAGAGTAGTAATGATTTGTCTTATTTTAGCATTTTACTCGAAGAGGTTTGAGGCTAGCTAATTAAATGGAAAAAGGTACAAGACGTTACCATTTAACTTATATAGTATGCTTTGATCACATTGCCAAACCAAACGTAAAGAAAAAAAAAGATCACTGGTATTAGTTGGTACCGGACGAGTTTTCTGGCTTAGTCCCATGTTGATGAAGACAGCACCAAAAGCCGACTGGAGACGCCCTGCCCCGATCGCTCTAAATCCTTTATATATACATACACGTTAAACAATCAAATTTGTTTGTAAATTTAACACATCGAAAACCTCATTCATATTTTTTTTTTTTGTTTACTTAATTTATTGCGTATGTTACCTTGGTAGGTTTCCCAAGGATAAATGACGCCGTCTCCGTTCCTGTCGAAGAAGGCTACATGTTTCTCCAATGCATTATCTCCTTCCTGAACAGATTTTCCTCCTACATAACATATTAACATGACCACAGAAAAAAAAACAGTTAATCTTCCCCAGAAAGTAAGAAAAGAAATTGAAACACTACCCTACGGTCCCTACCTTTAGTTTCTGAAGAGCCAGAGGAGGTATCCTTTTCGGTTTGGGAAGAAACAGATGAACCAGCCATGGCTTGATGAAAAATGAGAGATGGAACTAAGTAAGATGACAAATTATTAACACTCACAGTTTCTTGTTAGCTTTGGATCTCTCTTTTGATTTATATAAATAATAAAAGATCGATGGAAGAAGAGATTCTTAGTTTTATATATGACAAAGATCTGATCAGAATATGTTAGTGTGTGTCTTTGTACAAATGTGTTCTCGACATGTATTGATATATGCGTAGACGTATTCTCATTTAAGCATGAGGAGGAGAAAGTGTGAGACTTACAATTTTAAAATTTTTGTTTTACTTTCCTTTTAATTTCACTATCGACCCTTTCTTCACTTACACGGTACTATCAATTTAAGTTCTCCTTGTTTATCAACCCGATATCAATTGTTTTCTTAGCTATTTGTTGTTAATACTTTTCTTTGGATCGAATAGTTATAATGTATAAATTTTGCTTCTATCTGATTAATAGCAGGCTTTTCAATTTTTCACTACTACTTTGCAGTCATATTGATAATATATCTACACACTTACTATTCTTCATTTGTTCTTTTCCATTGTGTACTCAAATCTTGGTGAAACAAAATGTTTAAACCCAATTCTCTAGGCACGGTTCCAAATAAAAGGGAATATACTATGTGCATTTGGTTTCAATGAATAGCTGAATAACCAATAATCGAATGATCCACCAACAGAAAGTAGAGTTTACTTAAAAACATGGTTGTAAACTTGTAATATATTAATAGAGTTAACATACTAAATATACATGGTGAAATCACATTTTGTAAGCATGAAAACGTGAAAAACGGTAAAATATTACTATAATCATGTTTGTAGTGTGAACATAGAGTATACCATTCATCACCAATAAATAGCATTTTCTTGGTGAGAAGGTAAATTCCTAAGTCTATACTTAAGTACAACTATTAGTTCCATTGTTCGAATTTTCTTTCGTTTCTCACTAACAAATGCAAAAATTAGAGCGCATCTAAGTAGGATAGTGAGCAATTACACTATTTAAAGAACAACTTAAGAACTCAGCCACGATACGAACTAATAAGAGAAAGAAGAGAAGTGGTTTATTGGGATCATAATCACCTGTTTTTGGTGGACATATATATATAGATAATCTCAAACAACACTATAACATTAAGTTGTAGGAAATATCAAAAGCTTCAAATGATGTTTATATACATTGTCCTTTCTATTAATACAAATTGCTGGATTCGCCACAACCTCTCTTCACATCACACAACATTTTGCTGGTCCCTTTGGATCCGCCCTAGCTTCCTCGGTACCTGGAGAAACAAGACTTTGATTAAAGCCTAATGGTCCTAAGACTTGTCAGAATCAAGTTCGGAATCCGCAAGTAAAGAAATTACCTTCCGGGGGTTGAACTAACTTCCGGTTATGCGAAGTCATCATTTCTTTTTTCAGCTTAACCAGAATGTCCTCCATTGTGTATTCTCGCCGCCAGTTAGTGAGCATAGGGAAGAGACTCGGTTCAACCTGATCATACATTAGGACACAACCTTGTCAAAACAAGCAAAATATCAATAGCTACATATACATATGTAGCATCAGCAATGTCACTAACGAGGTCAAAAGAGATTACCACGCCAGATTCAGGGTTGACACAAGCCATGTTTATCCGGGTCTGGAACCTCACACTTGGTGGACTTTCTGGGTAATCCTTTCCACAGAACAGCTTCAGCTGGAAGATTTTCCCTTCGTATGCAGTCTGATATTCATTCATCACCAAACAAACATCATCAATCTTATCAACAACCAAAATCAGAAACCCATAATTTCATTCTCTGATCAATAGTGGTAAAGAAACGTAGCTACAGACCATTTGGAGTTAAGTGTCACAGATTACGTAGCTAAAAGTAACGGATCATTTCCAGTAAAAGCCACACACAAAAAAAAATAGTTACTTTACGCACAGTCGCACAGAGATATTGCCTAAAACATAGGGACAAAAAGTAGAAGAAGACTCCAAAGCATCCAAAATTGATTGTTTTTTTTTTTGGGGGTTAAATCAATAAACGCTCTCTAGCGATTCCCTCCAAAAAGTGTTGAGAATTGCATCTTAATCTATCAAACGCAGACACAGAGAGGGAGAGAGAGAGAGATACATTATGAGGGCCAAGAATGGTGCCAGTCCAGGATTGCATATAAATATCATCAGCATCGTCCATTCCATAGCTTACCGTACCATCTCCGATACCTTTCTCACCTCTTTCAAGCTCTTCCAACAATCTAAAATTCCTTGGAACTACAACAAAAATCGAGCAGATTCATCGATTAGAAAACCCTCTCGTGTTTTTTTTTGTGTGTGCCTAATCTATCATTTCCAGATCAGAAACCGTGGATCCGGTCACATTCTGTATAAAAGCTCGGAAACAAAATGAAATGTAAATCGATTCAATACAAAACCCTAGATCCTAAATTCAATTCAGGTGATGAGATAGACAAATTGAACGGGAATCGATCAGACTTACCGACGACTTTGGCTTCCTCCGAGCTCATCGCCGGATCGTAGACGAATTTCAGGTGGAATAATTAGGGTTAGGTGAGAGAGAGAGAAATCGGAAATAGCGAAGGAGAAAATCACAAAGAGAGAGAAGATAGATAATTAGAGAGAGAGACTGTTCAAGTACTGTTTTACCAGAAAGGATGTGGAAGAAAAGGGATATGGAGAGTTTTGGGGGTTGTGCGCTTTTTTCATTTATTTCAGGGAGTAATGTAATAAATTAAAAAGCAAAATCTCACTATTGCTGCAATAAAGACAAAATATCTCCAATTAAAGTGATAAAATGCTGATACATTGAGAAAAGTTGAAAACTAATGGCGTGCTAATGTGACATTAATTGGCGTGCTAATGTGACATTAATTATCTATCATCCAAATAATGTTGATAATGTTGTGAAAACTTCTTAGAAACTTTATTAATCACTGGAATGTATATATAGAGTACATAGGGAATCTAGGTTAAATACAATGCCCTGATGGGTCTAATGGGCCGGTATAAGAGTCCATATATGATATGTGTTATAACACTCCCCCTTGGACGAGTGAACCGGGTCAGCTACTCAATTGGGATCTCGATAATGCGCTGGGGAATGTTGCCTCATTAAAACCTTACTAGGAAAAAACCCAGTGGGACAAAACCATGGTGAAGGAAAAAGAGTACAACACGCATTACTCCCTCTGATTGTAGCATCACTGCAGATCTCTAAGTCTATACATTCCTATCTGTTTGACGAGCTTCCGGTGTGTTGAAGTAGGCAATGATTTGGTGAAGAGGTCAGCTGAATTCTCACTGGATCGGACCTGCTGAACGCTGAGAGTGCCGTCCTTCTGCCAGTCTGAGGTTGAGAAGAACTTCGGTAGAATGTGCTTCGTCCGATCTCCTTTGATATATCCTTCCTTGAGCTGAGCTATGCATGCCGCGTTGTCTTCATACATCACCGTGGGTTGTGTGTCTTCGTCCATACCACAATCTCTGCGGATGTGCTGAGTCATGGAGCGAAGCCAGACGCATTCCCTACTAGCCTCATGAATGGCTAGGATTTCAGCATGGTTTGATGAAGTGGCAGTGAGTGTCTGCTTCATTGATCTCCAAGAGATGGCTGTTCCTCCATGTGTAAAAACGTAGCCAGTTTGAGACTTGGCAGTATGCGGATCTGATAGATATCCTGCATCGGCGAAGCCGACTAACCCATCTTTATTTTGGTTAGTATAGAAGAGTCCTAAGTCTTGAGTACCTCGAAGGTATCTTAGGAGATGTTTTATACCATTCCAGTGCCTCTGAGTTGGAGATGAACTATATCGAGCGAGGAGGTTCACGGCGAAACATATGTCTGGTCTAGTGTGACTAGCCAGGTACATTAACGCTCCTACAGCACTGAGGTATGGCTTTTCAGGACCAAGGATTTCTTCATCATCCTTTTTGGGACCAAGAGGGTCATCACTTAAGCTTCTAACTACCATTGGGCTGGTCAATGGGTGAGCTTGGTCCATATTAAATCGCTTGAGTACCTTTTCGATATAAGCCGATTGATGCACAAGGATTCCTCCTTTGATGTACTCAAGTTGTAATCCCAAACAGTACTTTGTTTTGCCTAGGTTTTTCATTTCGAATTCTGCTTTTAAGCAGTCGACTGTTTGGGAGATCTCACCAGATGTTCCGAGGATATTTAGATCATCCACGTATACTGCTATGATTACAAATCCTTTGTTTGATACTTCTTGATGAAGATGCATGGACTGATGGGTTCATTTTTGTAGCCTTCTTTGATGAGGTAATCGCTGAGGCGGTTGTACCACATACGCCCACTTTGTTTCAGTCCATACAAGGATTTGTTCAGCCTGATGCAGTATTGATCTCGAGATGCATTTTTGTCTTTTAGTTCAATGTCATCTGGGAGTCTCATATATATTTCGTTGTCCAGGGGCCCATAGAGATATGCGGTTACAACATCCATTAACCGCAGATCAAGATTTTCTCTTATGGCCAGACTTATGAGGAATCGGAATGTTGTTGCATCCACCACTGGAGAATAAGTCTCCTCATAATCGATTCCGGGTCTCTGTGAGAATCCTTGTGCTACAAGCCGTGCTTTGTATCGAACGACTTCACCGAGTTCGTTCCTTTTGCGCACAAAGACCCATTTGTGGCCCACTGGCTTGATGTGTGATGGGGTCCGGATGATCGGACCGAACACGTTTCTGAGTTTGGAACTCTTTAACTCCACGTTTATGGCTTCTTTCCATTTTAGCCAATCTGTTCGATGTGTACACTGTGTTATTGACGTGGGTTCTAGATCCTCTTGCGTGAGCGCAACATCAAGTGCTACTTTGTATGCAAAGAGTGCATTTAAGTCGACTTCTTTTCGATTCCATTGTATTCCGGACATATTGTAATTGATGGAGATCTCATTGTTATCTTTTGAACCTGGAGATTCGGCGTCCCGAACTTCCATTGAGGGTTCATTAGATTGAGTCTCAGCCGCGGCTATGTCTGATATTGCAGGAATCCCGGTTTCGGTTATTGCACCTTTCTTTGATTTCCGGGGATTCTTATCTTTGGAACCGAGAGGTCTGCCCCGTTTGAGACGTGGTGCAGACTCTGTAGCAACTTGGGTCTGTCCCGTTGGGACAGCTATTCGTACTGGTGCATTACAAGCTGGGATGTACGATTTGGTTACTTTGGTCGGGTCAGCAAAGGAATCTGGCAATTGATTAGCTAGCTTTTGATAATGAATAATCTTTTGGATATCTGAATCACATTCTAGAGTCCGAGGATCTTGCCAATTTAATGATGTTTGATTCCATGAAAGATCTTTGACCAGCTTGTTTGTCTCACCACCTAAAGAGGGATATACCGATTCATCGAATTGGCAATCCGCATATCTGGCCTTGAAGAGATCTCCAGTGGTTGGCTCGAGATATCTTATGATGGTGGGAGAGTCAAAACCAACATATATTCCCATCCTTCTTTGAGGTCCCATTTTGGTTCGATGTGGTGGAGCAATGGGTACATATACTGAACACCCAAATGTTTTGAGATGGGAGATGTCTGGCTCATGACCCGAGAGTAGTTGGGATGGGGAATATTTGTGTTCACTAGATGGCCGGATGCGTATGAGTTCAGCAGCATGTAATACTGCATGTCCCCATGCTGAGGCCGGGAGCTTTGATCTCATGAGTAATGGTCGGGCTATCCATTGAATGCGTTTAATGAATGATTCAGCCAATCCATTTTGAGTATGGACATGTGCTACAGGATGTTCCACGGTTACCCCCATGGCCATACAGTAGTCATTAAATGCTTGTGAGGTAAATTCACCAGCATTGTCAAGGCGGATAGTCTTTAGTGGGAAGTCAGGGAAATGGGCCCGCAATTTTATGATTTGGGCCAAGAACCTAGCGAAAGCTTGGTTCCGAGAGGACAAGAGACAAACATATGACCAACGGGTCGATGCGTCTATAAGGACCATGAAGTACCGGAATGGTCCGGAAGATGGATGTATAGGTCCACAGATATCGCCCTGGATTCTTTCTAGGAAATGAAGTGTTTGTTTAGAGATTTTAACTGGTGAGGGCCGAGTGATCAATTTGCCTTGAGAACAAGCTGTGCACATGAGGTGTTGAGGATAAGCTCGGTTTTCTTTGAGGGTATGCCCTTGAGAGTTTTGAATTAGTTTACGCATCATATTTGCACCGGGATGACCGAGCCGGTCGTGCCAAATAGTATAATCAGTAAACCGGGCTTTGAGAGTGGTATTAGCTTCAATCATACTGACTTTAGCATGGTAAAGTCCAGTAGAGAGCGCGGGTATGGTTTCGAGGATTTGTTTATGGCCGTCTACGGTTTTAGTGACTAGGAGGGATTCTTTGTTCCCTTGACCTTGGGTTTCTATGTGGAAACCATTCTGTCTTATATCCTTGAAGCTCAGAAGATTTCTCTTCGAACTAGGAGAATATAGAGCATCTGGTATTTCAAGTTGTGTGCCATTTGATAGCAACACATAGGCATGGCCATATCCTTCGATAAGGTTTGAGGGACCCGCGATGGTGCTAATATTTGCGGTTTAATAGGTTAAGTTTATGAAGTAACTTTTGTTTCTTAAGATAGTGTGGCTGGATCCACTATCTACGACTATGGTTTCCATTTGCTGGTGTGCTTTTCCACCTTTGGATTTCTGACAGGCTAATGAAACTGGGAGCTAATAGACCTCAGTTAGCCGCTACAAATTCCAAGGATTGATCACCAAAACTGGAGAAGCTGCTGGTTGAAGAAGGAAAAACTCGGATCTGGTTTTTTTTTTTTTTCGGTTGATCGTCGTGTACTGTAAGTGTGCGTGAGGGCGCGTCCGACGTTGGATCGACAAACGGTTTTCACCAGTAGATTCGTCTCGTCGAGGGCTTTGATTTGATATGTAGATCGTCTTCTGGTTCCTCACGGTTTGGAAGATATGCGTCTTTTAAGTTTCGACTTGCTTTTAGGGTTTTGGTAGTGGCCGGATTTATTAGGGTTTTTCGTTCAGAGAGTCTTATCGTGCTGATAACGTGTTGTGAAAACTTCTTAGAAACTTTATTAATCACTGGAATGTATATATAGAGTACATAGGGAATCTAGGTTAAGTACAATGCCCTGATGGGCCTAATGGGCCGGTATAAGAGTCCATACATGATATGTGTTATAACAGATAAGTATAAAACATAATGGAAGGTATTTGAGAGAAGAAAAAAAGGCTCATAGCATCCTCATACATTAACAACTATATGTATATAAAGAGTGTTCTACCTGAAACACCAAACAAAAACGTTCATAAAAAAAAACTAAATCAACAAACCAGGACATAAAAGAGACCCCTAATCCTTCATTTTTTCGAGTTTATCTGATTTTCTTAGCACTCGCTGCGATTTTTTTATTTAAATCATTATTGCTTCGACAATATTGTATTCTCCTCTGGAATCAGTGAGGTTATTTCCAAAGGCCTTAATATTAGAGGCCTATTTATTGGATTAAATAAAGTTTTAAAAAAAAAAAATAATATACAAAATTGATCTAAGAAGAAAGTTTTGGTTGGATAATAATTTTAATTTCCATAACTAAATTTCTAATAAAAAAATAATGTCATAATAACAAATATTAAGTTTTAAAAACAAGATTAAATTTTTTTAATTGTCCGGAGGCCTTAAAAAAAAAGCTTGAACCGGGTCCTGTCCGAGAAAATCAGACGAATTTGCTGCTGCTGCTGCTGCTGCTCTTCATTGTCTTCTTGCTGTTGGATGATGATTTGCCTGGAGAACGACATAAACAACCCATGGCTCTTGATGGTGAAAACTTATCAAACCATGACAATTTTGATTTCGTTTTCGATTTCCGGTTTGATCGTTCTTCTTGCTCTAGGACGGAATCGGATGATGAAGAAGCTAAATCAATGGAGACAAACGAAGAGGAGCTCATCCTCGATTTCTCTTTAGGAAGAAGCTTCAGGCTTTGTGTTGTTGGTGTCGACAAAATCTTGCCTTCTCGAGAAAATCTCGACGAACTCGAACCCATTAGCCCACCTCGCGGATTCTTCTCAAAACCCGAATTCAAACTCGGATCGCGTTTGATCCCGGAGAAAATTCGCGTTTCCTCAACAGATGAAACCAAAGGACGACGAGTTTTCACACTCGGAACGCGTTTGGTTACTCCGGAGAAACTCCTTTTCTCATCGCCGGAAGCAGAAAACGCGTTTTCGTGGTTCCTCTCCGTCATGCTCCTGGAGTGGGAGAGAGCCCTCTTGGAGGAAGAAACCGGGTCGGGTCGAGAAACCGGAAGAGATTTGAGACGACGGAAACGGGTCTCGAGATTAGTGGGAAGAACAGAGTCGGTGAAGCCAGAGCAGTTGATGGCGGCGACTTGCTCTAGAACGTATAGATCCTTGGCTTGTGAAAGCAGATTCTCCACAGCTAAATCGTCTTTTCCAGAGAGAAATCCGAATTTCGACATTATCGTTGATTCTTTTGGAGTTTTTTTTTTTTTTTTTTGTGAGAGTAGAGAAGGAAAACGATGAAATAAGCTGCTTCTTATATACAACGGTTAATTCATGCTTTTCTCGTTTCAGTGAGCGTGTCTTTTTGTTTTTATGCATTTTTGTAGTTTTTCCTTAAGATTTGTTCTGTTTTTGTGTGTTTATTGTTAATTTTCCTCTTTTTTTTCCTACGCAAAAATATGTTAAATGTCCATTTATTTTTGTTAGTTGAATGCGTTATGTGAGTCGGAAATTTACTGCTAGTCAATCTTACTCAGTAAATTTGACTTATCTGATTAAGTTCAAACGAGTAATTTTTATAATAAAAATAACATTTTAAAGACAACTTAAAAAGGTAGTAAATTTACAAAATAGTTTTCGTATTTTCAAAGTTTGCTAAAATTTTGTCAGAACGTACTCTGTCAGAACATTCAAGTTTACACTTTCATATGCGTCTCAGAATTAGTGAGAGTGAGAAATCAAATTGCAGATTTTAGAAGTAATAGGCTAATAGCATAAAGCACACCAAAATAGCGGAATATTTTAGATCCTCGTTGAATCAACATTAATGAGAAATTCTTTTTTTATATAACAATTCTAAATATGTGATATTGTTTTGGCAATTCTCTTCATCATCGCTGTACTGATCAGTGATCAAGAAGCTCGCATCATTATTATAATGTCTCTATTCAGTTTCTTCATCATCTCTAGCGATTTACTTTTATTGTCTTAAAAAAAAACACCCAGTTTCAAATTTTCAATGATTGATATATCAATTCATACAAGGCCTCTTCTTTTCCAGTTTATAGTAACAACACAAAAAAAACGAAAATGTAACTTAAAAGTTAAAATAAATGGTTTTGATAAAAGTACGATCATATTAGCTTTTACAAGAACTACAAAACCAAAAGGCCTCAACAGATGAGGAAAGTAATACCTTTTCTAATCAAAAGTATCAAAATTTCCACTTTTCTTCTCAAAGTTTCAGGCTTTTCAGGGTTTGCCTTGTGTCTCCATCTTGCTCGACCTGAAAGACGTAGAAAAATGTAAGAAAAATATCCAAATCGCAGACACAAAGTATGCCCAACATCTCGCGAATTTATTAAAGCCAGCTTGTGGAATCTCACCTCAACAACTACTCTTGATTTCTTCTTCGCTTTTCTATTATCATCAGTCTTCTTTAAAGCTCGTCCCTTTTTATGAATCACAACTTGCGGCTCAGCATCATCGCCGTCCTCATCATCTGAATCTGTAGAGAGTTCATGATTGGCATTATTTCTTATGAACAAACGAAGCTATATATGTAGTGATGGTAATGAAAACCAATAAGTAACCATGAATAACTCAAATGCATCAAACTTATTAAAAGGGATTCATCATTTCTCAATATGTTAGATGCATAATTTTCAGTTCTTGAGTTAAAACCTTGAAAAAGTAGGAAACAGTACGAAGATGAATATTACCATGATCATCACTGTCGACGTGAGACTCCTTAAATGGAAGACCATTAAAATCTTCTATATCTTCATCTTCATCTTCAAGTTCATCATAGCCTTCAACATATTCAATCTCTGGTTCCTGAGATTCAGTTTAATAAATAAATATCAGTGAAACGAAGCTGCATTTAGATTTTATGGACTGCCGAAAATACACAACGATAAAACTGTGTAGGCTCAGAAAAAAGTACATCCTCTTCTTCCTCTTCTTCTAATTCCACTTCAACTTCCTTTTCATTCTCAAGAACTTTGATAAACACAGACTCCTGATAATTGTATATGTCACCGTAAACGTTTTTCTTTAAACGTTCTAACAACTCGGTTTCAATTGCCTGCAAAAAGAACCAGAATGTCATGAGAACCTAAGTGAGGCAAGTAAAACCAAACCAACCACCCAAAAAATAAAATAAAAGGAAGTTGTGACCTTATCCAACACAGCTGCTTTTTCAGCCTTTTCCTCTCTTCTCGCCTCTCTCTTGATATTCCTCCTAGGCATAGTCATTATCGTCTCCCTGTGATTCAAAAACAAAAACACCATAAAATTAATCAGAACAGGAAAAGAAAAACTAGAGTTCTGCGAATCAAATAAGATATCAGAATTCCAAGAACAAAAATCGGAAGAGGACAAGACCTTGTTTTCAGAGCAAGTTTTCTCATACGAATACGCATCTGAGTCATTTTGGTCAGTCTTTGTTTAACCTTGTGCTGCAACAGCTTGGGCCAGTACAACTGCCACAATAAAGAAACGTTATTAAACCCCCAGATCCTAATACACCAGTCTAGCTAAAAAGATGAAGAAGAGGGAAGAGCTCAAATGTGGGGATGAAATCTCAGCTCACCAAGTGCTTATCAATGAGTTCAAGGGCCTTCTCATAGTTTCTAGGCAGCTTAATTCTCTCCCACAAGTTCTTTGGCATGTGTGCTCTCTCTATAGTCTTCATGTATAAATAAAAGACTCCTGAGTAACAACAATACAGAGAATCCACAGTAAGAGGTCACAACACTGTATTCAAAACAAGCATCTTTCCGCAATTCTGCTCTTACTACATCTAAGTAAATCAATGGCCAATCGTACGAGTTCCAGCACATAGAATCAGCAGAAATAAATGGAGACAAACATAAATTTCGACTCTTTATAAATTCGATTTGCAGATTTAAAATTACCATCGTGGTCTCGGATGGTGGCGTAGCGACTGTTGGCAAGTGGGCAAGAGCTTCGGTTGCAGACACCGGTTACATTATAAGGGTTTTTGCAGAAGATTCCGGTTTCGATTCTACAAGTAAAGCAAAGAGAAAGATAATACTCATCAACAAATCTTCTTCCAGGCGAAATCAAAGAGAAGTGAGGGGAAAAATAAAAAGACATACTTGGCCATATAACTGCAGTGCTTGTGCCTGATAACCTGCCATATCACCTCGTCGTGTTGCATCTTTCACGATGAAGTCGAAACCCCGGTAAGGGTTTTAGGGTTCGGCGAGATTTTAGGGTTTATGAGAGAAGAAGGAGAAGCTGTGGAGGACGGCGGCGATCAACTGTCGACACGAAGAAGGGAAAATCCGGATTGGAAGTGAATTAACTGAAATTATGTAAGGGCCTTAAAGGGGTTAAGAATTGGGCCTCTTATAGCCCATAAAAATATACAAAACAAAATACAAATGACTTTTAGTGGAGGTGATTTGGTTTTTGTCTTTTAATTTTTTTCTTCTTTCACTGAAATAATGTATAGAGAAATCTTCTGTAGCTAAACAGAAAATTTCACATCATCGGTAGGTGGTTATCGGTTCACTAAAACGACTTATATATGATGTCTTAAACCAGTTTACCTCTTGAAATGGGATTACAAAAGATCTTTCTTTGCTTAAAATTGAGAATGTGGTTAAGGTGTGTTACTGTGTTGTGTGCTTTTGGCTCGTTCTTTTAATCAATGAGTCAATTTAAAAATATTTTTGCCACCTGTTTTAGTTACAAAAAAATTGATTAATAAACATGTTACATTTATATAATAAACGAGTTATGTCAAAACTCCTACATCATCATCACATAGTAGACCATCGTTTTTTTAGAATTCTTTATCAGAATTTCTTGACAAGAACACTATAGAGGTCTTACGACCACAAAACGTTTTAGTGAAATGTTAATATCAACACACAACTACTCAAATTACCCCAATCAGAAGATCAAGGATACCCTTTCGAAAAGAAAAAAATCAAAACAGAATGGTAAAATGTCTGAAAAAGAATGTTTGAAAAAGGTCACAAAATGTGTTTGGGTTCGTTCATATGATGTCATTGGGCTTAAACCTCTTTAGAGCCCAAAAGATAAGACCTTGCTTGTCGTCCTCTTTTATAAAACCCTATCTCTGAAAACCCTAGCCGTTCGGTCCTCTATATTATATAACATTTCTCAATCTTTCTCAGGAAAAAAACCCTAGATCTCTGAGAGAAAATGGCGACGGCGTTGAAGAAGAACAGGAAGAAGAGAGGACACGTCAGCGCCGGTCATGGTCGTATCGGAAAGCATCGCAAGCATCCCGGAGGTCGTGGTAACGCCGGAGGAATGCATCACCACCGTATCCTCTTCGACAAGTACCATCCAGGTTACTTCGGTAAAGTCGGTATGAGGTATTTCCACAAGCTCCGCAACAAGTTCTTCTGCCCAATCGTCAACCTCGACAAGCTCTGGTCTCTCGTTCCCGAGGATGTGAAGGCGAAATCCACCAAGGACAATGTTCCTTTGATCGATGTGACGCAGCACGGTTTCTTCAAGGTCTTGGGTAAAGGTCATTTGCCTGAGAACAAGCCGTTCGTTGTGAAGGCTAAGCTCATTTCTAAGACCGCCGAAAAGAAGATCAAGGAGGCTGGTGGTGCCGTCGTGCTCACTGCCTAGTTTAGGTCGATTTTTCCGTTTTCGTTTTAAATTATCTTCTTCGTTTTGTTGGAACCCGTTGTTGAACTCAGTTTGTTCTGCTTTTGGATTCTTGATGAGAGATATCTTAATCAATATTACTGGATTATATAATTATCATTTTATAGTTGAGGTTTGGTGTTGGTATTGGGATTTCTCGAATGCTTGCTATTGATTTTTCACCAGGTATGTTCTTAGGGATACATTGCATTGCATTTCGAGATTTCTGGGCATTTCCTTCGATTTTTGTTCCATGTTCTAAGTTTCGCACTTGATATTTTCGTTTCCGTTTAAGTCATTTTCTTCGTGTTGAACACTGTTTTGTTGCTTTTTGATTTGGAGTGAGAGATCTTTTACTGAATATTGCTGGATTATATAATTTTTATTTCGGAGTTAAATGTTAGGTATTGGTATTTGGAGTTCTCGAATGCTTGCTATCGATTATCATTGGTTTCATTGAGTTGTTGGTAGGATTCATCATGTTCTTAGGGATACTTTGCATTGCATTTCGAAATTTCTGCTCATTTCCTTCGATTTCTATTCCATGTGCGAGATAATTAGACAATACTAAAAATCGTATAATTTTATTGAATAGTCCAAAATCAGACAACCCTCAAATATCCAAATTCTATCAAGCAACAACTTATATGGCTGTATGTCCCTGCAAACAAATTAAACAACAATGAAACATCTTTAAAAAATAAATCTTTCTTCGTGATCAATAATGAGCAATGATCCAATATAAGCTGTGCATTTATGGAGATACATTCGACTCATAAAGTCACGATAAGTAGCGGCTGTGAAACCTCCTTTTGGTTTTGATCTTTGGTCTAGTTTGGGCACATTGCATGAGTATACAGGTGACCGTGGCTTTATATATCGACTTTGTCACTCCCAAAAGTGTTATGGAACCGGATTGAAGATGAAATATAAGTGTGGTTAAGGACGGCTGGTTAAAAACAGAGGAGCATCAAAACTTGTGGAGATTTGACCAAGTAAAATAGGTTCCACTCGAACACCTCTTGGAATAACATTTTGTCTCATAGTAGGTTTAGAAATCCTGATGTAATTTGCACCAGTTAGTCTCATTTCTTGTTCTTGTTCCTCGCCAGTCTTCTACATTCTTGTTTTCAATATGATTCATTCTAGACTCCGTGTTACTTAGATCGTTGTTTACTATTGAATCTTCATTCATTCATAAAATGCAATATTAGTTTGATGGTCTTCAAGTAGACGCTATATGTGTAATGTTAGATTCTAATAACAAAGTATTTCCTGGTGAAGATGATGAGAAGCACTGTTTATGTCTATTGACTGGTTCAGTGACCATCTCCTTTGATAGTTTTCACCACCTGGATAGTTGTATCTTCTTCATCTTTTATATCCTCAATCTCATCTTCATGACCTGTTTCGCCTCCCCATTTCCTTATTCTAGCTTCTGCCAACAAAGCCTGAACATTCATGACAATCTTTCAGCACCCAAACCCTTAAAACTATACACACAAAAACATCAACAAGTGCTTCTCACCTCTCTGTCCCAGTTGGTCTTATAGATCATCAATAGAAGAACACTTGTCTGCACAACCGTTCCTGTTAGCATTCCTGTCCATATCCCCTGTAATAGTGTGTATTCATGACTGCTTAAAACTTAATCATGGTTCTTCATCAGGGCTAGCTAGAGAATTCAAACATTATTACACATACCTTTACTCCAAGTTCCAACTTGTAACCTAGCAGAAGACCAATAGGTATGCTACATAGATAGTAGCATCCAACGTTCACGTACGCAACGATCCCTTGCCACCCAGCTCCAACAGCTACACCTTTTGATACCATATCAAAAACAGCAATTAACATAAACACAATGGCCTTACAGTTGTTGTACTATAGGGAGGGTTATTAAAACAATCCTTATTCTAATGTTGTCAAGAGAATTACCAGAAAGAACAGGTTGAATGTTGTTGATGACAATGGTTATAGCCAGCAACGGAGTGAGCTGTTTTACGAGTCCTCTCACTTCTTCGTCATCAGAGAACATCGTTGGATACTTGTCTCGTAACACAATGAGAGTCATTGAGATCACAACTCCAACCGATATAGAAGTGATCATCGCCACTATCAATAAGAATTTCGCCCTTCTTGGGTGCTCAGCTCCAAGCTCATTCGACACTCTTACACTGCATGCATGCAACATATCTTTTCTTCATCCTACCATTAAGCTTTCTTAATTTTTGTATAACATTAGTGCTTTGTAATATACCTCACAGCTGCATTGAAGCCAAAGGCAACCATGATAGGCCATCCCAATATGTTCATGCTGTAACCAAAACCGTGAAAATTCTGTTATTACCTGAAAAAAAAAAAAAAAAAAGCTTCACTTATATGGACTTAGATCTCACCATATCGAAAGAGCAGCCACAGAGACTTGAGGGTTCTTGAGGTAACCAGCGAAGAGAATCAAAGCCATGAAGTACCAAACCTCTAAGCTGAAAAACCAACAAAAAATCAAGTTCACTCCATATCGATGAGCCATTTGTGTATATATACCGATCTGGTTCCATGCAAAAAGGTTTCGATATATCTCACCAAACCATGACCGCAGAGGCAAGAGACAGTCTTGCAAAGCCTCTGAGATTCTTGAAAGCTTTCCATGAGAGCCCTGACCAAGCTCTGCCACAAGAACCTCCACAGATATATACTATTTGAGCTCCGTCTATCAACCACCACGAGACATTGAGCGCGACGGCTCCTCCGGCCATTCCCCAACCGAGTTTCAGCATCATGAACCAACTCAATACGGCGTGCTGACACAGCACGGTCGCTGCTATAACCGCCATTGCAATCACTTTGCTTTGTGCCTATAATATGTTAGTTGATAACTGAGTTTGGTCGTATTTTATTTATAATTATATAAGTCAAATATGTATGTTAAGCGAATAGGTGTGTGGAAGAGTTGTAACTTGTTGGATAAGTTACAACTGTTACCAACGGGTGCTTACGGTTATGCTATGTAGACAAGTATATAAGTGTTATTGTTGTCTTAATGTAAAATTGTCGAGAATAATAAAGAAACAAGGTTTCAGATTTGACTTTGTTCTCTTTCGTCCAAGTCTCTCGTTATTCTCTTGAGAATTTGGTCTCGCATTCTATGTTTTTAACAAAAGTCTAACATAATAATCACTCCATGCCAATTAGTACAAGAGTTATTAAAAATTAATCTCCAAACTAAAAGAGTATATAACTTGATATTGGTATAGTTGTTACCTGCAAGAACTTGGCGGTGGCGAAGTTGACGGCGTAAGCAAAGAGCTGAGGGATCATCCAGAGGGAGAATTTTCCGGCGGCTTTAGAGATCTCCGGCGACTGACCGAGGAGACTCAAAAGCGGAGTGGCGAAAACGTAAAAGAGGCAAAGAAGAAGGGCACAAGAGTTGAGGATGATCCAAGACCTCTGCAGATATATTCCCATCATCTCTAGTTGCCCTGCTCCATATGCTTGCCCACATAGCGTTGCCAGTGCACTTCCCATCCCAAGCTTTATATCATAATATTTAATAACTTTTACGTGACTACTAATTAATTCTTTAGTTAAGAAGATTAACGATTTTTTTTACTATTCATATGTTAACAAATCAGTGATAATATAATTTAATGTGAAACTGAGATTTTGGTTACAATCTGGTGCTGTAATTTAAAGTCGCATTCGATCTGATATTAATTAGATTACTGTTTTCGTGTTGTTCTTTGGTCGTAAAATTTGTTTTGTATCGTTTTCCGCATTGTATCTCTAGATGACATTATATACTCTTTAAAATTTATCAATGAGTTAATAAGATGTTGATATTCCTACACTTTCTGTCTTAATAAATTTTAGATTCAGATGATTAAGTAAACATACAAGTGTCTTCATTGTTGACAGAAAAAGTGTTTTCACTAGGAGACTATTCACGTCTTATATATCTCAAAAAGGGTTTACACATGTATATTGTATACTTAAATGCAATACATCTATTCGTTTACCAACAAAAAAAAAAAAAAATAGAATAGCAAACCTAGATCGGATTTGGAAACAAATAATTTTATATGATTTTTTTAGACAACCATAATTTATATGTATTGCATTTGCGACGTTAATTCAAATTTAATTTTTTGTATACATCCGTTGTGTATATGGTTGCATGAGTGAGTGCATGTATTTAAGCGTTTGTCCCACATATATCATACACATCACATATGAGCACAATTTTTTTTAAAAAAAAATTTGGGCGTAATTAGATAAGCTTAATTACCATAATGCCCACAGAGAAGCCGGCGATGACGGAGTTCTGTATAGAGACGGCAGCTAGAGCCAGCGTGCTGACGTGTCCGGCGAGGATCTGCGTAACGGCACCAAGAGAGTACTGGCAAAAAGGAGGTGAATATCGCAGGACCCGCGAGCCACCACAGCTTCTTTGACTCAGTCGCAAACTGCCGCAAGAAGTCTCTACCGCCGGTGATCGGAGCCATGTCGGTGTCGGATTTGGAATGTGGTCGATGTTCCTGTCCTGAGGAGGAGAAAACATCTTCACCATCGTTGAGAGTTTCCATAACAACTCTTACAACTCTTAGAAATGCATGTGTCTAGTACTATAGAAGATATCTAGTTTTATTGAACAGATAAAAGATATGTTAGGTTCAGTGAATATTAGTTTTAAGGCTTTTCAATAATGAAATTTAGCTATTGTTTCATAATTTTAGAGATAGACTGGAGGGAGAGTACGAGGACAACGTGTCTAACTATTGTTATGTGTTCTCCAAACTTTTAGTGATAAAATCGACTTTATTTACCCAATTTTACTTTCTAAAATTAGTTGACTGGCTCAAGCTATTTGGCATTCAACCATTAGATACCAATGGTTGTATTTAGTTGAGTTATTACAAATTTCACATTACGACACAAAAAAAGGCTCAAGGCCTAACTTCATTGAGATAAAAGATCTTATGAGTTTCCAATTGGAAATATATAGTAGAGACAGAGAGAGTTTAGAGAATAGGACAATATAAAGAGTACTACAGAGATTTAGATTTAAAGAGTATAACACAACACAATAGTTCTTCATCAGAAGAAGAAGAAGAAGAAGAAGAAGTAATCACA